AAGCTGTGGATAAAAACTACTCAAAAAAGCTGTGCAGTGTAATCTGCTGAAAAACAGAACATTTAAAACAAGATGTTTATAGGAATGACAAGATGTTTTGTTAAGTTAATGCACCTTGTTATATATAGTTTTCCAAACAAGAGTTAGTGGTTTTTAATTACTTATAAAAAATTCTTAACAAAATACTGGCAAATACTGACTTGGTTAAAAAAACTGAACAACAAACCATGGAACCATTAAGCTAAAGAATGCTGTCTATGGCTGTCTCAATATCGTCCAGAAAACCACACGAAAAGAGTAAATCAAATTGCCAGGTTTTCAATGTTGATACTGAGGCTGCATAAGGAATTTTGAGAGCTGATAGTGGCTTTCAGGACCAAAGAGTCTGGGGAAGGCTGACTTAAAATACCTCCATCAGATGCTGAAAGAGCAAGTTCCTTGCCATCCATTGCCGGCAGTCACATCACCACTGTTTCCACATGTTGAGGAGTATGATAAGCACAGAAAGCATGCACATAGGAGACACATGATGACAATGACAGACATCTGCATGAATGAGTCTGTGCATGTGTGTCTACGGACACTGATTTGTCTGGGTAGATGAGGGAAGAGCATATCTGCTCTCTTAAAATTAAGAGGTGTGTTTTTTCTTACCTTGGTGAAATTTCTCCTCTTCTCACCCCAAATTACACAAAGACATTGTGTAGACAACTAATTACAATACCTGCAAGGCATGCCTGGCTTTCAGCACAGAACAACAGCAATATAGTGAATTAGGTGAGATTTAAATTGGTTGAACAACAGGGACATCTCTGAGAAGTATAGCAACAAAGAGACCAATTGGAACAAGAGCATCTGGAATAAATTTAATACACATAACCTTATGTGAAGCATTTTGTGTTTAAAACAGATGCACTTTCCTTTCTGTCATTTGCCAATTTCACATTTGTAATAACTAAACCTAACCTATGTGTGATCTCAGATGACTCAAATAGCTTGGCCTCTTTAAAGGAAATTGAGAAAATTCCTTCTCCTGTGTGGGCACAGTGCCAGCAGAAACAGAGTTGACATCTGGGGAAAAGGGATCAGTCTAAAGTCTTCCCATTATGTAAATTGGGCGCACGTGGTGCTGCAAAAAGGTGCGGGCTTTTTGCTCCTAAAGGTGAACTGAGTTTCAACAGTTCAGCTGACATCACCTGGGGTGGCCATGACAGATATTACTATGCTCTTTACTATATGGTTTATTATGCAATAGCAGTATAATTGCTTAAAAAAAAATCCATGGGAGCATGTAATACATAGAAGTCATTAGTCAGAGACCAGTGGGGACACATACCATCTTAAACCACTGTAAAACCACCAGGAAAATGTTATACAAGGCATTAACACTTCTGCTGAATATGTAAAATATATACACATAAGAAAGGGAAAAGCCACTTCTACTTTTTACTCCAGAAAGCATTAGATCCTGAATTGTCATTCAAAGGCTATTCTGTTCACATGGTACTGAGTATTAGACTAATCTTAGCGTACTTTCTAAGGAACTAGCAATCTATCTGGGCTCTTGGCAGACTGCATGTTGCCCTTTGCCTCCAGCAGTCTCTCTAATCAATTAACACTCCCTACATTATTATGAATATGGCTCCACAAATTCACAATGTACACTAAGATGAAATCAGGAGGTTTCGGGTTGTGCTACCACAGAGGAGAAATTACATTTCAGCTGAAGACTACCACCCTGTTTGGGGTGGGAGGGCACACAGGGCAGGGAGGAAATAGCAGTTTCCCAAACACTTCAGGCCATCATACACCTGCACTGCTGCCAGAAGAAATGGTTTCCCCCCCACTCCCCTCCTTATTTTGGCACAATTTGTGAGTGGAACAGATCGAGGAACTACCTCAAGCTGAATTTTACTGGAAGAAGGGTATTTTTAACCTGGAACAGTTCTCTAATGCCATTCATCATGTAGCAATACAAACCATTCCTGCCAGTTCAAGGTGGGGGGAAACTCTCATGCCGGACATGCAGGTTTATGCCAGCTTAAGACTAGTAGGAAGTAACAGCCTGAAAAATGGCAGGCAGAGCTTTTCTTCTCATACTACAGATTCAAACTAAGCCAAGCACAACAAAGAAAAGCTGCTTTTGATAGCCTTTTGATTACCCTGGTGATACTAAAGTTGATTCATTTCAAACCCCACTGGACAGGTATTTACCCTACACTTCGCTTCCCCGCTGGCAGGTTCAGCAGGGTCCTGGCAGAGAAATGACCCACGCATGACAAATAAATCTCACTTTAAACATGAGCATTCACAATACAATAATGGAAGAGAAACATGCAGTGGCTCACTTGCCCTCCTGCACAGAGATCCTAAGACCAGCCATACAGAGAGCTTCACAAATGCTGAAATTAATCTACCAAACTACGCCAGAAATGTCAAGCTGCGTGTTCTAAACTTTATGAGCTATAGGCTGTGAAGAGGCAGGAAAATGCACGACAGATTACGTCTCTGCAGGGCAGGAGTGACACCATGTGGCAATTTGCTTTAACTGGAGCACTGAGCTCCTAACGAGCGTCAAACTAATTCAGCCAACAGCTATTAATCCTGTTTAAATTAAGCAGTGTAGGATATTACCTGCTCTGGACTGCTAACATTTTATTAGGGAAAAAAAAAGGTCCAGGATAGTGTACAATATCCATCTGAAACTTCAAGATCCATTTGCAAGTACTTTTTTATAATGTGACAGTTGACTATTAAGTGGCTGATGTAGGCATAATCCTGATGCCAGACATCCTACAACCGAAATCCCCTTGCTAAAACTCCACCCAGCCCAATGTGGTAAAAAATAAGGGAAGGAGACAAAATGGGAGCCAAACACCCCAAGGAATGCTAATGTTTCATTGCCAGCTTCTCCGAAAAGTTCTTCATTTGCTACATGACAAGCAAGAAGTTCACAGTAGAACAGAAGCAACAGGGAAGCTGCTCACCAGCAGTAAGACTGTCTGTTTTCTAAAAACAACTGTGCACCCCATCCCTCTTATTCCAGGCACACTGTACAGAAAAGTATCTGAAACTGCATACACACATGGCCTTTTCATGCCACCAAGCATGTCTCAATTTTCAGGCTCATTCTGCATTGTATTTCTACATTTTTGTGGCATACTACTTTGACAAGGGAGTAAATGGTCTCACTCAAGAAACCAGGCCCAAAGTCACGCTTTTCTTCTATGCAAAAAGGAGTAGGTCGCATCCAACAGTGCAGGCGGGCAGGCCCTGGGGGCCAGGATCAGTGTATATCCATCCCTAACTACACCCAAATGAAGTAAGCCAAAATAAGAAAATGCAAACATTGCACTAAATGTAATTTCCCATCTACCACGATCAGCTGATCTGCACACAGGCTCTTAGAGCACAACAGAACCCAGTACGTCAGGCTCACTTGGCTCTCCGTGAAGTACACACAGGAACTCATTCATGATTGCCTCTCAACCATAAGGTACCTGTATTACCAAAAAAATGTCACATGCAGGAACTAAACTGTCTGTCTCTTTCTAGCTGTCTGCAAACTTTCTAGAGCTCTAGCCTTCCAGAGCTTTTGTATGATGAGTTCTTGTGCTTCATGCCAGTATTTCATTCCCTTGCCATGAGAATGATCCACTAGGCTGTATAATTATTAATTCTCTTTTTTGGTTTCATCATCAAACTGGAAGCAAATACATTTGGATCAGCTTCAAAATCCTTCCCCCCCTTCCCCCATAATCCCCCTGGACTTTATTTCAGGCCCTTTTAACAAAGCATTACAATGGCACCACAGGATTGAGTTTGAGTCTCACTTACACAACAAATGCAGTGATGCTACCACATGCTTTCTGTTTAGTGACCCGTGATGTGGGAGACAGACTTTACCTGGGATTTCCACCCATAATCTATCATCTTCCCCAGCAGGGAAGACTGGAACCTATGTGGAAGTCCCAGATCACTGGCATGATCACCAAACCAAACAAGTAATATTCATTCCATCTGTGAGTATCTGACTCATTGTAAATTCCCATTCAAAGAGGGACTGCCAAATTTGATTTAAGACAGATTATCTAAATACACACTTCAAAACAAGAGTAGACTCAGTTAAAACTTTGAGAGTGATAAAAGCTTTTCAAATTTATCTGCTGTGAGCAATTCTTGAATCAACAGATTCCAAATCCAGTGTACGTGCTTGTAGGATTCACATTGTACAATTCTGCAAATATCTGTAGATGTGCCAAGATGCTGCCTAAGAGAGTTTTTGGAATATGTTTTATTATTACTGAAGTTAAAATCATTCTCTTCTGAAACATCTGCAGAAAACTATGATTTCACATTGGAATATTTTATTCCATGTTTATCCATTCCTGAACTAAATACTTTCCAGAAGACTGAACTCAATGTGGAAAAGCTGGGACATGCCTTTTTTATTATTCTTATTAGAATCTTAATTAACTTCTTTTGGAGATATTCACATTAACAAAAGCAGTCAGATTTTAGAAGAGATATCTTGTAGGCACACTGTTTTGCAGCATCACGACAGGACACTGCCATTGCTAAAGGCTCACAATACAGCAAAGAATGTACTCCAAAAACCATGCATTGAGTAAGCTAATAAAGAAAGAAGCTAAATGGATCTGATACTGGCCCAAGCCTGCCAGCTGAAACATGCAAATTGAATTTGGTTAATGTACTGGTTGTTAAACAATGAACCAATAACCAACTTCTACACTGATATGAGAGTCAAAGATTTTATCAAGACCCTTTCAAGGCTGTCTGGTCCAGAATTTGTCACAGCTGTCCCACTTCAAGAAAATTAAAACATTATATCCATGTACACTCATAGTTAAGAGTCCTATGCACCCACATCTAAAGCAACATTCAGCAGCAGTCAGTGTAAGATTTAAGAGGCCTGTTGCATGGTGGAAAATAAACAAAAAAGACTTTCAGCAACTTACTTCTCTTGCATGGTAAATATATCAAAACAGCCGTTTGCCAGCATTTGATCCAGCATTGTCAGGAGGGGTACAGACACCCTGGTGAAAGAAAATAATTTAACAATGTAAATACACTTCTTGGCATACATATATACACTATTTTTAATTAGAAGCAAAGAAAGAAAAGTTCCTATCTACCTACACATATTTAAATTAGAACTCTAATTTACACAGAGGAGGGTTGCTCGGTAACTTCTGTGTGTTGGCTACATCATCCTCATTGGCTGAGAGGGGGACATTCTGTTGCAGCCAAAAGGAAAAAACCTAATTAACAACATGCCTGGTTTAAACTTGCAGGGTCCTGAAAACACAATTAACAGTAGTAGAAAATACTAATTTATTTTCTAGTATATAAACAATGTATTGCACAAATATATCGGAAGTTACACCACCTTCTCACTACAGGTAATTACCAAATGAACCAACACACAACGTGTCAGCTGGAATAACTATGGTCATGTTTTCTATTTGAACAGTTGAGAGAAGAAATAAAATAAAAACAAAATAAAACTGAAAATTCTATTAATAGTTGTGGGGTTTTTTTCCCCCTAGGGAGTATTTTCTATTTTGCACATATTTGATAAGTGAGGCTTAGAGAAATTCATCTCATTATGCAGAATGAGTCATCTTTAAAGAAAAATCTTCACAAGAAAATTATACTTCACGTATTTATGAAAACAAAATGCAGACTGGATTACACTGAAAAGTGTGCAGCAATATATAAGCCCCAATACTGCATTATATAAAAACTGGTGCTTATCACATTATGTGCAATATTAAACTATAGTAAATGCAAAATATTCTACCATCATTCCTTTGTTACATGTTTTACCAAAGGCACTGCTGTACCAAACAGATGTATTAAAGCAAATTTACATGGCTCAGGCACACTTCATCTAGGCGTATTAAAAAAGATGGGTGATACATTTGACTTCAAATAGTCCTGCTGTTAAAGATAAAAAAGCAAAAGAAAAACATTACCGGTCATTCCGCAGGTTGTCCTCAAAGACCTTTAGCAACGTCTCACAAAAACTCTCCATAGCACTGGAATCATTCTGGATTTTCTTCATGTAGTCAAAAAGGCTCTGGGCAGAGTATCTGAGCTACAACAGAAGGAACCTCAAATGAAGGCACAGGGAATAAACCCCGCTGCAACACACAAAAACACTGACTACACAGAATTACGCTTATCCCTCACTACCTGAGGTGTACACCTGCACTGTGAACACACTCTTCCAACAGCAGCTGAGTGTATAAATTCAGTAACAGTATTTGACAGAAAGATGGCTATTTTACTTTCATTAATCATTTTTCAAGGAAGGGGTTTTTTTCCTTCTTAAGTTTTGCCATTGTAGGAAAAAAGACCACATTAAAGGTTCACTGTTGTCTTTCTCTCAAAATAAAATATCCCTAAACCGCTACAATTATCCTGCTTTACTTCAAATAATAATATTGTTATGGCTCTGAAAGTTAAAGAGTACACAAGAAGTTCAAGAGGTAATATTTATTAAACAAGCTGATGTAATTGAAAAATACAGGCAAGCTCTTGGGCACATGGTGCAAGCCACACAAACCAGCAGTAAACTTGGGTTAAAAATTAAAAACAACTCAGAAATAATGACTCTTGGTTTAACTTTATTATGTTAATCAGCTAGTTTAGAAAGATGGCAGAAGGTTTTAGCGCTTATGTTCAAGGCTCAGCTGGAAGCAGTTCATTTGGGTCACGCCAGCTGTTCAATATCACAGACTACAGCCTTCGCACAACAGCCTCCTGCTGTCATGGTCCCCAATCTCCAGGAGACACAGTGCTTCTGAGCACAAGCCAGGACGGCTTCTCCTCTCCCGGACCTGCTCAGGCTTCAGCCTGGAAACCTGGACCTGCAGTGCAGGAGGGGAGAAGGCAGAGCAGCGCCTCTGTGGGATCCCCCTTTCCTGCAGGATCCATGCCCCCAGGCAGCTAACGGCACACCCTGGAGCAGCAGGACGAGGGCTGCAACAGGATATATGAACATCACTACTAATCCTAAGATTTTCCATTTCTGGGAGAGGTAGAAATTTTGGTTTCCGGGCTCACCTTTTAAAATATTAATTGACTTCACTTCAGGGTGAGAATAAAAATTTGGGGTTTTCTGTTATAGAAACTGCCTCAAAGGAAAATATCTCATCAAAGATAAACATCATCAGATTTCAGAATTTTCCTGACTCTGATGTGAAGGATTATCAGTCCTTCAGGGGCTTGGTCAAGTCGCTTAGGGAAGGGGGGTGGTGGTTAGGGGGTGTCCCCCATAAGAAACTGGCTTACAATGAAGGGGGCTCTGGGAAGGGTAGGTGGGGCAGATCAGTTTTGAAGTACGAACTTTTTTCAGTTTTGGTTGCAAGTGTTAAATAATTTTTTGTTGAGTGAAGAGGGAGCTGTAAGCAGTTTGTAAGCCTATTCAGTCAGTGGAGATTTTCTTTCTGAAGCTCATACATAGCATTTTGAGAGTTCATTCAGAAGTACAATCAATTCCCTTGGAAGACTGACTCTTTTATCAAGAAAAAAAATAATTAGATCAGTATAAGAAGTGTCACAAGTGTCTTCCTGAAAGCAAAAGAGAGGAATCTCTATTTAAACATTTTATCTAATTTTTTATCAGGAATGTTTATGGGTGCATCAGCACAGAAGTACAAGAAACATTTTAGCCTTGAATCAAAACTCTGAACTAGTTTTCAAAAGCTTTAGCCCACTTGTAAACGACACAGTACAGCAATCCATACTATCTCAAAGTGGCAGTCTGCTATTTTAACAGTTTGTTCTAGCGAAACATCCTGGGCAACACAGAAGCAGAAATATTTCTTTAAAAAGGTCAAGCCATTTAAAGAAATTATTCAGTTATTCTGCATTTCAAAATGATAGTCAAATCTCAGTAAAAATTGTTTAAACATTTGTAAAAGCTAGCTATAGTAAACTGAAATACTGAATTGAACTGAGTGTGCTTCTTTTGTGTGCCAAAAGTAACATTGATATGTTTCCCTGTGTGCCGAGTATAAACTGTATCCTTGCACTGAAAGGTCTTTACAGGATATACAATTGTAGTGAAGAGAAATTTCCTGAAAATTTAAAACCTGCTTAATTATTATATACTACCCTTTAAAACAATCTGTCCATTTAAGACCATTACAAATAAAGAAGAAATATATTGTCTTAATATCTCAACCTAGCAGAGATCAATTATAAGCAGAAGAAAGGTTACATCCGAGTCAAATCTCACGAAAAGATCTTAAAACGTGTATGGTTAACCATGTAATTTTCTCTCCTATTTCTTTTGTCTTTTAAACTACCTTGCAGATCTCTCACCATTTTTTGAAGAAAGCTTAATTACTCAATGCTTTTCCTGCAGATTCAAGCGATTGGAAAGGCAAGAATGGGCACGAAACAAAAGGGCAAGCATAGCTACATGTAGGATGTTCCAAAGCTGTGCAAAACCAAGACAGAGTAGCAGGATAATCAGAAAAACTGTATGATGAGGACAGCATTTCTTCATTAGCAAGTAATTAAACAATACAAAAGTACAGGTGTGGATAAACCAGCACATAACCGCTTGGAAGATTTAAAAATGGAACATTTTCCAAATAGTCAGCATAGGCCTTACAAACTTTACCGGAAGAAACTCCAATATAACAAAATAACGTTACATGAACGGGTTAAATCCATATTTTCTCCTTAGGTGAGTGCTCCTTTTTCCCCAGATAACCTATGAGGACAATATCTGAGCTATAACCTTAACTGTTCATGAGTATTTGCAGAGAAGAGCATTTCCAAATTTCTTCTTCATTTATGCAGAACACAGAATTCGCACTGTATCAAATGTGTGACATTTACCTTTCCCTGGGGTTTCACAAGGACTGGGAAAGGAAATTAGGAGGTTAATGGGTTGGAACAGGGACAACTTTGGATAAGAATTTCGGAGGAGGCCTGAGAATGACCTTGTTCTTATTAAACATGGTAAAAACAGGGTTTGCCAAGGCTTGACTCTCCCATCATTTAAGCCAACAGTAGATACTTCAATGATAGGCCACGGTAAGGCAAACAGAGTATTCAAAGGGACCATTCATCTGATGATAAAATTTAAGTCCTAAAGATTTTACCTCCTGAACCAGGGGGAAAAGTATGAGGAAGTGTAGCCACAAGCAAGGGGAGAAGGCAATTACCGCTCTGGACAGGTGCACGATGTATAAATAAGGTGTCTACACAAACCTTCATGAAATTGTTTCCTAGTCAGCTTGTTGCAAAATTGAAGTACAATGCTTCTAAAAACAGTCTCAAGGCAACAAGTGGGATTGATATGGCCAAAAGAAAATTACCTTAGGCATCCAGTTTGTAACAGAGCATTCAAAATCTCAGCTACCCGTCAGCTATAAAGATGCCCAATCCACATAAGGGCTCCGATTCTTACTTTGCAATACTATCTTGGACAGACCTGATGAAAAAGCCAGTAGGGCATGATGAGAAAGAAAGAGCCTGTACTGAAGATGTTCAGTAGATCGACATAACCTAGTGGTTGTCAGTCTCCCATCTAACCAGTCTCCTCAGAGCCCCAGGTATCTCAACAAAATTCAGTCTTCTGCACCTAATGCATCACAAATGGAAGTCAAGTGAGTAACTACTGAGAAAGCTTGGAGAAAATCAGATGTACAGGTAATTGCTAAAGGCTCCAGTTTTCACAGAAGCATTTCGATAGAGCAAGACCTACTCACAGAGTTAGAACATTCCTGTAACAAGTGCAGAAGAAACCATGTTATGCTCAATAAATAACACTGGGTTTGGATCATTTCTAATCCTGACAAACTTACAGTGCTGAATTGGCAGTAGCCTATTTTTACCAGTAACTTTAGAGAAAATTCCATACCATTTAAATTTTAACACAAGTGAAACCATGTCTCCCTTGTTTTACTTGCAATTTTCTTTTTAATAAATCAATAAATAAAATCTTTGGAGTTCAGTAACTCTTAAGACTCAAGTCAGTGATATTTTACAAGAAGTAGGAATATCATAATTCACGCTATTTTTTCTTTAAAAAAAGAATGCCAAAAATTATTCTCAAGTGTATTTTGCTCAAGAATTGTCAACCAAGGAAACTGGATTTAGGGCTTGTTCCTTCAAACCAAATATGCATTAATTTGCATACAATTTGTCAACAGTAACTAGATGGTTTAGAACATCACCTACAAATGTCCCAACTTTTTCATTTGTAAGAACTAACACTGCTGTTCAAAGCCCAGTATTGGCTCCAAACAGTACATAACAGTCATAAACATTGCTGGCAAAAAATGAGTCCATTCTGAGGAAAGTAAAACATAAATTGTATCATGTATTTGGCACACAGGTAATGTTAACATCTGTATGCCATAGCTGGGCTTTAATTTTTGTCAGGTGCTTTAACATACATAGGCATTCATTGGATAGTTTCAGAACTGGCTACTCCAATTGTTACAGGTCTTTGGCATTTCAGGTTGGAACCCTGGTACTGGCCTGGGAAAAAACCTTTAATTTTCAAAATAGGTTGCTGCCTTTTTTTTTTTTTTTTTTTTTTTTTTTTTTTGTTTTTTTTAAAATTTCTCTAACATTTTAAAATGTAATTTTCACTCTTTATGGAGGGAGGGGAATCACAGGAAATTCTGTGCTTTAACAAAATTTTAAATGTAGTGTAGTTCAACAATAATGAAATAATACAAAAATTATATCCTGACCCCTGAAACTACAGGGTTTGTGAGCTAGAGAAAGAAAACCATTGTATGGTTCTGATCTCCATATACTGAGAGGATTTTTTATGCAACCATAAGAAATATGCATCATTGTGGGCCAGATATATAATTAGAAGATTCTTTTACACAGAGAAAGTGCCCTTTGAACCAAGGGACAGAAGCAGAATGCCAAATCCCAAAGGGAATGACATCTTCTGTTTTTCCAGATTACTTCAAAATGCTTGAGCTACAATTCTTTCAGCAACCATGCTGCCACCAAAATGTTTCTGAGATACCCCACACAGCTCATGCCAGAAAATCTCTTTAAAAAGCAAAACAAAGAACTACTCTTGCTAAATATACTGCAGAGCAATTTTAACTATGAAAAAATAGCCACTGACCACTGAATTACAATGGAGCCTTTTCTCCTACTAATTCCCTGAGATGTCTTAAAGACAAACCGACATTTGAACTCAGATTATCTTGCAGTATACCAGAATCTTCTAACTTTCTAACTTCTGTCTCCACGTGTGTATGTGCATATATATTTTTTAAGTGAGAGAGGGAAGAAAGGAAAGATCACAGGAACGCACAGAGGTTACTGCAAGAACACTTATTTGAATAATCCTTGTCCTTTATCCAAAATCTAAAAAATCTGTTTCTTTCATATGGATCTAATAGGAACAGTTCTTAAAATTTTCTATTAATGTTTTAAATCAGCTGAATATTCAGCAAGGACCACTACAGGCTTTGATAAAATAGTTTGAAACACAAGTCATTATAAGACATATCAATTCTAATTTATATATCATATTCTAAATATTAAATGTAATTCACCACACACCGTATAATCCCAAGTGTAAGTACCCTATACTTTGAGCCTCCTTTGCACTTCTATCTGGCTCGAAAGAGAAATAGGTCATCTTCCTTCTAAAGCCAAAGCCCTTGAGAGTATTTTAACCAGAACAAGCCTTTAGCATTAAAGAAAAATGCAGGGTCACAGAAAGTTAACATTTCAAAATCGCATTTTGAAAACAGTACAGAAGGTTGCCCTTAAATATACTGGCAGATGGTAACAAGGGAAGGGAGCTAGAAGTAACTGAACTGTTTACACTTTTCAAAACCAAGCACAACCAGAACTTTAAAAAAAAAAAAAGGAAAAAAGATATTAAAATGTTGAATAAGAATTTTCCTCTGACCTCGGTTAGCAGTCAGAATGTCTGTTTCTCCACAACTTTCTTCCCTTTTTATACTTATGCGAATAACTTTGGTTTTGGTGGAGCCTCCTATAATTAACTGTGTTTGACTAAAAGCTGAATTTCATGTGTATGTCTGCTATTAAAAAAATCTGTTAAGAGTTACATTGTCTATCCAATAATTATTGTCACAAACCAATAAGCATATGTTTTCAAAGTTTTAAAATAGCCATTGCTATATAATTAGTTGCAATTTTAGAAACATTAAAATTCTCAAAACTGGTTTAAATACATGACACTGCACAGACACCAATTTCTCAGCTACGTGAAACCCAAAGGCATATGAGTATCTCTTGATCACAAGCACAGAACCCATGGCACCAGGCAAAAACCATCATTTCGGCATATTCTGAACAGCTCATGGTTAAGACTGAAAAGTAGAAGCCATGGGAGACAAGCTTGAAATGATTACTGCCTTCCTTCTGTGAACCCAGCAGGAACTGTTCTCTCTCCACAAAAACAGTTTCCCAACACTTATCGCTTTTCTACCAGCTTTCTTAATTAGAGACGGCAATCTTAATTATTAGAAACACTCTTAAACACTGTTGGGGTGCTGACTCATGACCTCCTTCTTCTGTTACAGGACCACTGCAATTTAAAGATTTAACTAACAGTCCAGAATTTTCTGTTACTGGTCTGATATTTCTCTGTAGTGTCATATTGAACTGTGTCCTTACCCCCAATAGTTGTTTTCATATATGTTACATCTTGGCTACATCAAATAACAAAGAAGTTAGAAGCCAAATATCTTGAAACCAAGAATTCTGAAACTAGCAAGACAAGCTGTAATATAAGGACAGAAAGATACACTAAAGTTATTATAAAGTCTGGAAGATTTTGGGAGAATAACAGACTACCAAAACCAGTGATAAAGACACTGTTCACGCACAGAAGAATGAAACAGATGCAAAGCTCAGAGGACTCAGACAGACATTTGAATGATACTGCATTGTAATGTAACTTCTGGCATCTTTCTGGTACTTTTGTAGAAAGCATATCAAAACTAAAAAAAAAAAAAAAAGAAAATCTCAACATACTGTTAACACATATCGACAACTAATATTTAGCACCTTGCATCAGGTTACAAATGAGAACTGGCATTCACCTCATTTAAAAAGAGCAATCAGCTTACATTTAGCCACAACATTTAGCTGAAAGGCTCTTCCTCTGCTAACAGCTTAGAAGGGTGAGCAAATAAACATAAGAGTTGATTGAGCCAACAGGCTGGAATTCTCAGGTTCTATCAGGCCAGGAAACAAGAAACAAAGTGTGTTTCCTGCATGCTCAGTAAGTCAAGAAAATAATACTTTTAAGGGTTAAAATATAAAGCCCATCAGGTTTAAAAGTATGACTTGGTTTCTTTTAAAAATCTTGTATCTGAAATTCTCACAGAAATAACTATCTGCAATATCCATTGTAACAGACTAAACAATTTAGTCCACCATTTTATCAGGTAAATGCATTCTACTACCAAACAGGTAAGGTGTTCTGCTTTCTTACCGTTGTCTCTGTTAATCCACCAACAGACACTGAGAGACCCAAAAGCACATAGTATTGGTATGTTGGCAAACCCAAAAGCTGGGTGATTCGAGGGAAAGCTTCTGAAGCGGCATTCCAGTTTAGAGTCTCTTTCTCTGACCTGGGGAAAAGGGAAGAAAAAAAATAATCTTGTATGTGTGCACTGCCTTTCTTCTCCATGCATTCCTATGATAGCTCCTCATCCTCAAGCAGCACGTCAGTGAACAAAGTCTCTGAATTACCTAAAAATCAAATTAATCATTGGTCTTTAAGCGTAAGGGGAAAATACAAATCAAAACTTCAGCCACTCTCAGTAAAGTGAAGCAATCTTCAAGTCCTTGTTCTGATTCAGATAAGGGATTTGAACCACAGTTTCCTTTTCACATGCACTTTTCTCTACACCAAGAAAACAAGTTCTCTTTCTTGTGTTCCATTCTCATGTTCTCTCCCACTAACCTAGTCAACAACTGATACAAAGACAGACTTATCCCAGGAAAGGCTGACACACATACACCCCAGCACAGATCAATCAGCAGCCTAGCAGACAGAGCACTTCCTGAGTTACAGGAGGTTGAGATTCTGCTGAACAAACAGAATGCAGACACAAAGTTGGAAGTTCCTCATCATAATCAGGTTTTATAATCACCATTTAGGAATGAGTTGCTCTCACTCTTGCATTAACTAGAAATTTCGTCTTGGAAAACTACTGCAACTAGAGCTTGGTTAAAATAATGCAATTCATTAAAAATTATCATTATGATCAATCAATGTTTTCCAGTTGGGAAAAGAAAATTCAGGAAGGGGGACTGCCAATAAATTCCAGCTCTCACATTATGAAAAGAAAATGAGATTATATATTTCATAAACAGAAAGATTACCAAAACACAGCTCCCAGCAGTTCTGTTTTACCAATGGTCTCCCATCTACTACTGACATGATCTCTACCATCCACCATAAAATTAGCTGACGGGTTCAGAAATTATTGGGGTTGATCCAGAGAAAGACTTATGTAGCATGACCATGTAAGACCTATCTCCTTCGGGAACTATGGTTTTAACAGGAACTCATACTATTAAGTTCTTCTTTTGAATATTTTATATGTTTATGCATCTTCATTGGACACTTCAATGAAAGTCTGACAAACAGCACCAAATACTCCTCCATACACATATTAGGCATTTGGGCACAAAAATTAAATCTGGTTGCTTGTGTTAGGTGTAACTGTGTGCATGTATCTTTTACCGCCACTGATTTAGGATATGTTTTTCAATCTATTACCTTGGAAATATCCTCTCTAGCTCTTCTCGATGAGGTATGTGTGGAACTGGAGGATGGTCAAAATGTAAAAGAGTAAGGAACACAGATCCTGCATGCGCTCGAAATTTATCTATTTTTTCAGCTGACTGTTGAGCCAGCCAGCACATAATCTGTTTGCAGCTACAAAGAAGAAAACAATTAATCACATAATTAAATCAGTAGAATGAGTATTTAAATTGTTTCAACGACATCAACGTCCTGCTATGAAAGTATTCTGGTTTAACTCTTCATAATGAACGTACAAGTGATTTAAGACATCAACATGGTGACAGAATCTTTAAAGCTTTATCTTCCATAGATCAATCAAAAAATCATTATGACGTTAATGTTACACAGTATTTGATATTCACATACCACCTTTCATCCAAAAAGATATGAAGGTGCTTTAGAGTTTGGATGAACCGCTGCATTTCAGTTGAAAATAGAGGAAGAACCTTGAGAAATTTTCAAGTAGAAAATTGCACATGTAGCAGAGGACAACGTCTATCCCAAATCTCATATATCCCAAATTAATCACTTCTTCAACTCTGGCTAGTTTTTAACAATATCCTATTTTGCCTACATTCATAACTAAACTCACAGCTACAATATTGTATTCCACAAGGCCCTTTACACCTTCAGAAAGGACATCTAATGACAGTAAAACCAGCTAGAATTCTTTCAGTTACTGCCCAGTAACTGAAAGACCCAGTAAGACCCAGAATATTTAGAAAATACGATCCAATTGGCAGGAATGCTTTTCTAAGTTTCAGGTGAATAAAGTATCGTTTGCAACAGACCAATAGGAGGAAGCCCCTGGACAATGGGCACTGGTTGAGTAGTGTATTCCTACAGAATCCAGTATTTTCCTTCAAAGCGTCCTTCTAAGTTTGGGGGTTTTTAAATTAAAAAAGAAATCATGCATATATTCAGCTAACCGTTGGGCATGCTCTGTTCATAAACCAACACCGCTACTAGGAAAGTTTTGCTGCAGCTCAAGCTATGCTTAAAAACTGGTAAGTATTCTTTTTTTTTTCTTTTTTTTTAACTATTAGGAGAATTGTATCACAAAAAATAAAAATCAGAAGCTCAGTGTAAATTATCTTTTTCTGTATTTCCTTACTAATAGTTCTGTAAAGAAGACAGAAATGAATACAAACTCGTCTCCACATTTTATCACATTCCAAATTAATGATACAATGCTCTGGATAAGCAGGCAAGTTTGCTTTCTATTTAAGTGAACAATACAGGCAAGCTCCACAGAGGCAGCAAGTATAGACCAAATCTCACATATGCACTGCATTTCAAAGGTGGGACTGCCACCCAGTTTCTGTCAATAAGGTTAGTCTCTCTGAAAAACAGATACAATATTCTCAGCATCTGTATGGGTGTAAGCTTGATGCACTTCTATCAAAAGTTCTGTCACACTTAATAAAGGGGTAAGACTACAACATATAAGCAATGCTTTCTTGTATGGAATGGAATGTAGTTATAAGAGATAAGACACAAAAATAGTACAAGTAGCCTACATGTTGGCATTAATTAACTCTGCTTCATTCTGAACCAGCAGAAGCGTCACTTCCATTAAACTCGTCATAGCAGCTTCGCGTACCCTGTTGAAACAGAGATACATTAGAGTAGTTACATCAGTATTTATTTAAATAAATACATCAGCAGTTAAATTAGACACTGGCAAATATTCAAAATAATGAAAGCATTGACCACTGAGAGCAGCTATTATATTTTTGGGAGGAAGAGGAGGGTGTACAGCTGTACACCCAAGCCCCGTTCTATGAAGTGATGCCCACATTGCACTGAGGGTACAATAGTCATCCTAGTTTCCAGGCAAGCCCCCTGCCTCACCATCTTATTTTTTATTTCAACCAGATGTCATCAGGTTTATTCTTTATTTTAAGAAGGTTAAAATTTATAATGATTATTAATATTTAGTGTGCAGGTAGATATATTTAAACCTAAGTGCTTTGTCTGCTTCAAATCATCTTCTAAAAAGGCCAACCCACATTTTGACATTAAGATATTTAAGCACTATTAAAAGTGTCATATTCTTGTAAATTTTCAAGCTTAGTATTTCCAACGTTAAAAAGAATTGTGACTCAGAACAGCTTAAATCTCTATGCTAAATAATAATTAGTTTTATGAAAAAGATTAGCTAAAGTAATGCTAAGATGTGCTTGAAGTGCATCTTTATCTATTTGGTGAAGATTTTCTGCCTTCAAAATGTCTAAACATAATATTAATATAAAAAAAAAGTTGAAGAGTATAATTCCAATCAAAAATAGAAAAGAACATGCTTGTTTTAAACCACACGCCTTGTCAATACGTGAGTTGTTAAAAGTAGTTTCTTTCTCAAGACATAAGGAATACTATGGCAGATCCTCAACTGATCCTGCAGAAGACCAGGACCAACACATTCATCACATTATTCACTCATGGTAATCTCATCCCTTCTCAGTAATAATTTAAAAAAAAAATTAAAAAAATTGACAAGTTACACCTGCCTACTGTGAAAAGTAAAATTCCTGTTTCTAATTTCCCAAACAAGCTGAAAATAGTTGCTTGTGCAATCTAAAACTGGGTGGGACATTTGTTATAATGGTAAAAAAGGTAAATTACATCATTTTTTCCTAAGTAGCTTAATACTCTATTAAGTTTGGCAACCTTTCATCAAAGTTATGTTTTCCTAGTTTTTCATATAGTATCTGACTATTAGATATTCAAGTCTAACACCTGTAGACAGATTGGACAAGTCCCAGCAAACAATCTGTCAAAAGAAATGTAAGGTTTGCATATGGAAAGTAAAGTTGGTTAAACTTTCCCACGATTCTATTAAAGAAAGACAAAAATTACACACCAAAGACAAGGTCTCTCTAGAGAAATGGCAATTCTTCCGATATCCTTCCATCTTAGTCAATGGTTTAGAAGAAACAGAATGAGAAAACATTCATATTTGAGAGGCCACAGAAGTATTTAGCATCCAACAGTTTGCTATGAGAAAGGATTCCCCTTCCCCCTTTAATTTACATGTTTCTTGACTTGATTTTGGCTGGCATTGCCAAAGAAGCTTAAAAAGAATCTGGTGCTCAAAGCACATTTGAATTTTAATGGGTGTTGGGAATTTAATTTCCTCAGGATTTCTTTAAAAATTTCCACTTTGTAGAATTTTGTTTTGTTTTTAAATTAAGACATAGACAGAAGGATAAACAATAGGTATGGGGAACTTAAGTGAGAGCTGTCAGATGTGGAAGTTAACTTGAATACCTAATTATACTTAGCCAGGTTCTTATCTACTTCAGCATCGCACCTGATTTTGAAAGCATAAAGCTTAGTATCTCTTCCCTTTCTCTGACTCCCCACCCTATATGGTTGCTCTTACATTTTCTTGCAGCTACACCTGTCTCTCTCTTGTGTTACTACTGCATTCCCTGAGCAAGAGACCCATTCACCTTCCTCTTGTTTTTTTGACAGCTGAAGGAGGAGGAGAGGGAAAGCCAAGCTCCTTCTTCCCTTGCACAAGCTGGAAGGACCTGCTCTTGATCCTTACTAGTTTGCATCCTTGTGTCCTCTTCTAAGTTTGAGATGTCAAACATGCCTACTTTTCTCTGATTTCTTGTCCTGTGTTAGTATTTCCCCGCTGTACAACAATTTTAACAACCAGTACTGACAGCTGAGGAGCTGGGCATCATTATACAAAACAAGAAAAATACAAACACGTAAATATTAACTCAGGCTGATAAGAGTAGTCTGGATTATTTGCCTTGTGTACTTTTCCAACACATTTGTAAATATTGTAGTGAAGCACCCTAAAGGAACTAGGCTAATAATTTTAAAAAGTGCCCAATACTAACATGGCACAAAATATCTTTCTTCTACTTTGCACTGTAGAACTTACACTTTACTTTCTGTTCAAAGACAGAGTAGTTATAAATAACTATTGCAACTCACTCTGGAACTGATGAGATCTCAGTGACCTATAATGACTTGGTAGAGCACAAGCATTAATGTTTGACAGCAGTATAAACTACCCAGCAATTGCTGGCAATACAAAAAATGTAGGATGATACATATTTCACAAAAAAAAAAAGCACAATCACAACTTTTCTTCCTACAGAAGACAATAGTTGGTTATAGCATGTGTTATAGTAGTTCTGATTCTTCATGGTAATTACAAATGTACTTCACAGCACCTGCCCCTGTGCTCAAGCTATCTAATAAGCAATCCTAAAGGGAAGAATGCCAGTGTAATTAACTTATTTTCTTTTTTTAAAGCAAACCTGGGGCTACCAAGTAGAATAACAACATTAAAGCCAAGAGTGCGTAGGACAGAATTCTAAAACAGACATAACCAAAAATTTGAGCCTAAAGAAAAAGTTCCCAAACTCACACAATGCAAACTTGGCATCATGTATTATTATACCGGATTTGAACAGAGATCAGCATGCTAGGCATGGCTGCTGAAGCAGAATACAGCCAATGCTTCAGAACGGGACTGTTTTGCTTGCAGCAGGGAGGAGGGAGCAAGCAAGTGACTGAGACTGTTTTGGCCACAGAAAGAAGTATGACGAGTAAGGAGGAGTGCACATCCTCCCCTACAAGGTCCAGCTAACGTCTCGCCCATTGTAGCCTTCCCAAGTCAGCAATTACCATCACAGGTCGCAACCATCATCTGTGAGCTCTGCCAGCTTTGCTATAGCCACAACATACCTAGTTTGGAGTCCTTAATTTCAGTAGTCCTCTATCCCTCCTCACCTGTTGAGTCACAGCTGCTAATTACAATATAGTAGATGCCACTCAATTAAATTAAAAGGAAATTAGGTTTCATGTTCATACACTACTGTTGAAAACACCCTTCAAAGAAGGGGACAGTGACTGAAAAAATGTCTAAAACAGTTACTTCATACAAACACTCTGCAAGGATATTACTGAAAATAATCACCAAAGCCCTTCATGTGACTCAGCACTGTTAGACAAGAGCTTCTTCAATAAACTGGGAAAATAAGGAAAACTTTTCAACCAACAAAATTATTTAATACCAGTACTTTTCAGGCACTCCCCACTTCCTGCCTGGAATGTAATAAAAGCATAGCCAGATACTAGATCTGAACAATCAAGAGGTTGTTAATTTATAATCCTGAACATGCATCTCTGTATCCTGAGATGCTTCATATAGTTGCCAGACAGGTCAAATACATATTACCATACCGTTAAACAGGGCTGATAATTTATGTATAGAATCGTATCTAAAAGCAACATATATCTGCATATTTTCAAATTATAATTATGGATTAAGACAATAAAATTAAGAAGTCTTTGTCAAAAACAGCATTTTACTCAAAATCAAATTCCAACAAGTAACAGACAATTAAAATTAATTTATCACGTTCATTTACTTAGTTTATGGCTTCTCTATACAAGGATTAAGTGTAACTGCTCTGAGCCTTCTACATAGCAGCAAAATTGTCATATATTATAAATCTGCAGATACTGGATTTATTCCTGAATTCTGATAATTTAATACTTTTTATTAACAAGTACTATTTCAGGCTGGGCATATTTGTGCTCATAAACACATGCAGAAAAGCACCCTGACAAGACAGCCTGTATGTCTCCTTAGTTCTCATCTGATCCCTAAGATCCATATTTCACATGGTTTTCTCAGCCTGTAACTACAGGATAGTAGAAGTGAATAATATGAAACCTTCATTGCTGCTCTGTCTACCACATTCAAAGATCACAGGAAGTTCCAATCAGTAAGAGATGTTACATCTCCAATTACAGCTTCTTTAGAAATTAAACACAAACCCCAAGAAGGGCATAAGCCTTCATACTGCTTTGGTTCGTCAATTTAGAAATAGCCTTTTCAGGTCACTGTTACTGAAAGAATAAAGAACATTCAGATGAATGCTGTGTTATATACAGAATCTTATTTATATATTAAGGGAACTGTGAAGAATGTCACAAAAATATGACTGCTACAGACTTCATATTATACCTATTCTATAGACTTCACATTAGTAGATACATTTCTACAGACATGATTTAATTATGCTTGCAATCTCATAGCTGAAATAATTGAAACCCTAAACTTACAAAAGAGTCAGTAATACCACAGCACAATTGATAAAGTTTTCATCCATCTCAGAGTCACTAGCCTTGAAAATTTGTCACTAACACGTTATGCAACTGCTCCCTCTGCTGGCAAAAAATCCCCACAACACAAACGTACAATAGGAGAGTTCACCAAGTAGGAGAAAATGTGTTATTTCAAAGAAACAGAAGTAATGTTTTAAATCTCTGTACTTCTTACAACTAAATGCATTCTTAATAGTCACTAAAAGAAAATTATGTCATCCACAAAACCAGAATAAGGCTGAACTTCAGTTCAAAACACAATAGTCCCCATCTTCCTAACTTCCAAGGCAAGGGACAAATTCTTGTCAGCCTTTCCTTTCCCCCAGTGTATTTCAACCTATACTTAAATCTCCAAAAGCTTAGAACTATCTATTTCCAACAGGTTTTGAAAAGACATCAGTTTTTAATTAGTCATCGAACATGACAGCTAAGTTTAAGTCTCAGTTTGTAAGGCATCTTACCATCCTCCAACATCTCCTCGGCTGTCTGTGGTGTAGTCTGTCATACCACTAAGTAGTGTAGCATAGATCTGAGTAACGTTATCTTTGCAGACATATTCTTCCTGAGTTCCTTCTCCATTTACACCTATTGTCTGGCAAACCCTTTACAAAGAGAAAAAGGGAGGGGAAACCACAACACTAGCAAGGAGAAACATTAAGATCATAGCTTTGTTCTGTTGCTTAATAAAATTCCCCGGACATAAAATATTCTAAACACCTATAACATCTGCTACAAACAGTATGAAGAATATTTCTGAGCCTACTGTGTGGTATTTGACCTGAGGATTTCTGATCAGTGTTCGGGTTTAAAGGAACACTGGCAAGCTAAAAAAAAAATAATCAACAGATAAGCAGATTGGTTTTACATCTATACTACTTCAAAAAGGAACATGCTTGAAGTACCTGTCAGTTTTTGAACTCTCCTTAAAATGAAGTGAGCGAGAAGAGCAAAGGACTAATACAATGTGCATTGAATTTGATACTAAAAAGCTTCTTTAAATTGAAGACATGGGGGTTTTGCACTGTAAGTTTCAGAGCATATATAATATGATACTATTAACACTAACTACACTGTGGCATGTCAACACAGAAAATACTCCTTTAGAGAAAAAGTACAACTTCTTTAAACCAATTCCATCTTTTTATTAAAAAAGTGGAAAAAACCATATATTCTTCCTCCTCACTAAACTGCAGCCCATGAGAAAGGTGATCTATAAAATATACTCTAACTAGTCAGTTAATGGATTAAAAAACCCCACAACACCATCAGAGTTGTACTCCATCCTCAGATGTGTAGATAATCCTCTGAATCAAAGATATATTGAATAATGGAGATACATACAGTCCCACACTAAAAATGTACATCATAGTGTAGCTTGATTTCAAGAATTATGCTACAAGCTCACAACAGAAAGCAGAATGAACAGGAGAAAGCTTCTAGAGAAAGAATTAAAATTAGACAAAACAAAACATACTTTGCAATTGCTATCAGGGCATCTCTTCTCGCTTCTGCAAAGCTCACATCTGCAGGGGAAATTAAGGTAACTTTTTTCAAACCTTCCAAAACCTGAAAAAATATAAAAATCGAGTTATTTAAATCAATGCATTATTTATGATACATGTTAAATTTAGGTATCATATTAAAATAAGCTCAATCACATACAAGAGAACCAAGCAGGCAACAGTGTTTGGTTTCTCACCAGGACTTGTCAGCCTGCCTCACTTCTCCCTTTGGACAAATGTTCCATAGCAAAGGTATAATTCAATCTCTGGCTTTTCCATTAACACTACTAAAGCAGGACTAAACTTTAATTATCAGAATCTATGACAAGCTAAACTCATGATGATTTTCTGGAGTTACTGTATATTAGAATCCAAATCCCTTTCACAAAGACCTTTAATTATGATCATTATTATTTATTTGATTACCATCATAGGTTTCATTCAAAAACACCGTGTGTCCTCTTCTCATTACAATCATTGTATTTTCTCACCTGTTGGAGCCTGCCCTTTAGCAGAAATCTTGGAAGGGCCCCAAGTGCTCGTGAAAAGCCGCAACGAATCATTTCCTCTGTGTTTTGTAGTTCTGAAACATACTGTGTCACCAGCTCATCTATAAAAAATACAATTCCAGAGTGAAAAGCAACTACCACATCATTATCATTACATATTTGGCTAACAAAACAATATAACAGGGAAAGATCCCCCGAACAGAGCAGCTAGAAAGTTTTATAATTCATTAAACTAAAATACAGAATACCATTAATTTCCTACAGAAAAAAAGATAAAAATTTTAATATGTTCACTGTTACATGAATGAATTCTTATTTTCTAAATATGAAGTCAGATTTTTAGACAGAATAATCCTAGTCATTCAGAGAGACAAAGTTCTCAATTTTAAAAAGCTAGAATGTTTTAAAAACCCAAAGAATAAATGTAAGCACAAATTTCTATGCAAACACAGGGCAACAAGTTCTCTTATATTTACAGGTCATCATTTTCCATAATTAGACAAGTATTCTGTGTTAGGAAAGAGATGTCTCTGGATTTATGAAGGTCAGATATTCGACAGTTTTCCCCCAGAAAAGTCTTAACTGGACTCAGGGTTTAAACATACAGACAGATCATACCTAAGCAATGAGATAATTTTATATCACTTTTTATATAAAATGACAAAAATAAAGTTGGGCTTTTTGCAGGAGAAAGCTCAAAAGGAAGTGCCCATTTGGAAGTAGGGATGCTGTGCTGACATTCTGTGCACTGTTACATGATAAAACAGGGACAATCGCTCTACAAACAGTAGCACAGACAAAAGGCACAAGAATAAACTGAACTGGGCATGGAAAAAGGAATCTCAACAATGCAGTGAAGTGATACAAAGACGAAAATGAGGATGAATGAAAAAAAGAAAAAAGTCAGGAATCTATCTATGTAATTTCTACTGTAGTCTTCATCATAGACTTAACAGACAATACTTCCTTTACCAGATTTTTCAGCTACTATATTAAACTCTTCTGTAAAAGGCAGAGAAAAACAACATACTCCAGAAAAGCTTCTAAGAACCACCAAGATAGCTGCAATAAACAGAACTCTGGTACAAAAAGGAGAAAGGTGGTCTTATTAATCACTTTACTGAATATGCACTTTTTAATCCTCAAAAAAAAGAATCAAGAGATCCTAAGAAGTTTACATAATTGTGCCATTGCTTACCATCATCTAAGAGTTAAATGATTGAGCAATATTTGCTAGAGGAAGAAAGAATAGTTACCATAAGAAACTACAGATTAATCATAACTCACAACTGACTTTTTTTTTTTTTTTTTTTTTAAAGTCCCTATGCAATTAGCAGGCCTCAACTAGTTCCTCAGATCAGGAAACTAGTTCCCTGTCCAGAGGTTAGCAATACCTCCACATAAGCACATCTATTATTTAAAAATTTCCAAACCAGGGACTGTAAGATAGAGTCTTGAGGCCATAGGAAGATGCAATACTTGCTGAGACAGCAACACGATCTTAGACAGTAAGACTATGACAGTCTTCCCTTTGATTGATGTAAATTTAAGATTGACATTTTAGCCAAATGACATAAAATTAAGACATGCCAACCAGCAAACGAGCAGCTCTTTGCTTTTAACTACTTAGTAATTATGCTAGCAAGGGTAATGCAAATGTTAATACTCTTCTAAGAGACTTCAGCTTCACAAAACAACAGGTCTATGAAACATCTACAATATTAATTCAAAACAACCCATCCTGAAAGAGTATTAAAAGAGAAAGTCATCAAAACCACACCAGAACACATTAAGACAGAAAAAATAAAACAAAGAAAAGGTGAAAACAGAGTCAAAAGGAGTGATTCAATAAAATTGCAGTCTTATAGGGACAGATTTCGAATGCTGAATCACTAACATATCTTTGATCTGTTTTGATTTTAATCTGTCAAGCCATAGTGAAACACTGGTTAAATTTTACCAAAAGCTTTCCCCCCTCCTCCCCCCCCGCCCCCAATCCCCTTAATCACATTTAGACCTGCTTTAACTGACTTATCTAAGGCACCTGCATTGTCATTGAATGTCTTCTGCACTGTAGCTTCCACACATACATGCATACGTCAGACATTATGGGGAGGATTTTTAGTAGTGGATTTCAATTCCACAACATACAGAATTTAATGGTCATGAAATACATAGTTTTTACTGGCACAGAAATGAAAATACACAATTTTTTTTTGTTTTAAAAGATGCTTGCATGTATAATGGCACTTGTGTTACCATATGTGGAAAAGGTTTTAGAGCATTACAAGGCCAAATAAAAACATAATCAAGACAGAGCTGACTAGAGATCTTTTAGAACAGAAAAATTTCCAACTCACAATTCTATTTTCTAAATCATTCTAGAAAGTCTGATGAAAAATTTTGCCTGTATCTACAAATCTCACTCTAATTATGTCCCTAGACCATCACAGCTACATTGCCATGATTCCTTCAAGCACATGCCAGATGAAAAGTTAACCTAGAATCCAGGAAAAAAACAATTAAGCTTCACAGGCATCTAAAAGAGTCCAGCATCAGAACAGCTGCAGCCATCTATTGCGTGTTCTTCCAGTAGATTCCCTCTCCTTCTTGATTTTGACATCCACCCAAGTTTTTCAGTCCACTTCTACATAAGCTTGAAACGTTATCCTTACATAAAATGTGACCTATTAACCTTTCAACTCATTTTTAGCTTGCTTGCTTTGATTCAGCATTGCCTCCTCCTGCTCAAAGTGTTCAGTTTTTACAAAACATTACTCTTTCCTGAGGTTGGGTTTTTTTAATCTGACTTAGTACCATATCACATGTGCTGCCCACAAAAAATCAGGCATGCAGTGCCAACCTGCATGAAGGAAAGGACTTTTTTTTTTTATTTTTTTTTTTTTTACAAAAATATAGAGATTAGCAATATAGAAAAGATTTAAAAATCAAGATAGGCTGCTTTTACATATCAGCCATAACTTCTTTGGGGCATGGACTGCATGTTACTATATATGTGATAGGTGTCAGGTTCATTCTAGGAACTACCGTAGTAGAAGTAAATATTCTGTTACCTGATTTAGGAATGACTTAGTAATGGCAAAAAATAGGAAAACAAATCATTATTTTGTTAAGTTCGCTGTCATACTTAGGAAAACAAGAACAAAAATGTTGTTATTCTTAAAATATCTATTTATACAATCCAGCAATCTGTCTCTGATGGACATGATACAATTTCATACTTGAAACAAAGAAAGGTCCAGAAAAACCAGTATAAAAAAAGATGTTGATTCATATGCTCCTAACAAAGTTTAAGCCTACTCCTGTACTACTGATCCAAATCCAAACAGATTTGGTTTCATACGCACATTTACAAGAACTCTGGGTGTCCTTGCTGTCTTCTCTTCTTATCACTAACCAATTCTTCAAGTCTGCCACAAACTCTCGCACACAGTTTATCAAAATATGATGTGAAAAAGTCTCATTTCATTAAAATTTAGGATTTCCCACTAACACATATTCTTTGCTTCTTTGTTTCACAGTATGGAATAGAAAAGCAACCTGTTTTCCTAATATTCATTATTATGGTACCTTGTATTCACCTCCAGTCTAAAACAAGCAAAAACCCCGAGACATTTCCTAGACTTTCAGTTGGTTTTATCATTCTTTCCTGAAGCATTTTAAGGTCCTTTAAAATTAGTGATGCTCCTTGCCATTCTATCCAATACCTCCAAAGTGCATGTTAGGTCCAGCCCAATATTTTCTGCCTCTACTGTAAACATGAGTCATTACCCTGTAGAGCTGGATCAGCTTCTCCATTTTCATTGATGTAATATTCATTACACAGCGCAGCCAGTGCAGAGACTGCAGACTCCTGCAACAAAGGCAAAACTGTGAACTTGATATATTTACTTAGGTCATACTTTATGATAACTGTGCTTAGAATTAAAAGGTTAAGAAAAAGAGAGTGGATTTTTAAAAAAAATCATTCCCTTCAGCTACTGACATTTACTTTCTTTTTATTTCTTCCTAATACTGGTTTAAGAACAGTTGAACAGGAAACCTATGTAAGAACAGAACAGATTCTACTCTTATACCTTAAAAAGTACCAGTAAACTGAATTAATACTTAAGACATTAATAGTGATGTATCAACTCTATTTTCAGTTCAGTTGAAAGACCTCCAGGATGACACAGTATTACAAAATACAGAAGTCATTATTTCATCTTCAATGTATTGATGCCAGATTGATAAGAAACAAACCTTACTTCCCCAGAAAGCTATAGAAAGGAAACACAGAAAAAACCCCATGGACTGAAGGTTATAAACAGAAACCCCCAAATATCTAGTATCACAATCCTTGTGTCTCAATCTTAATTGGTTTAGAAAAGGATCAAAGGTTGTGTATTATGCCTGAACCTCCTAATCTTTAGAGTGGTTTCGGTCATACAGCTGCTATTTCAAAAAGCATGTAACAAGTTTTCTCATAAAATTTATGGTTGAATTATACTTTTCAGCTAATAATATAATGCTGACCAAAATTATAATAAATTTGAGAGTGTGCAAGAACTATGCACCGTTCACTCCATATTAATAGAAACGATACTTAGTAATACTCATGTTCTCTGGGTACAAGAAATCTTAAATGATAACACAGGAACCCTGTACAGCCTATTCATTCTACCCTCAAAGACACCTCAGACTTGCTCTCTATGCAAAATCAAGGACTTGAAAGAAAACCAGTATTGATCTAAATAATATTCTAACTACCACAGGCATTATAGTAGGCAAAATATACAGAATTCTCTAATTGCTGTAAATTATAGAACCATAGAATAGTTTGGGTTGGTAGGGACCTTTAAAGGTCACCTAGTCCAACGCCCCTGCAACAAGCAGGGACATCTTCAACTAGATCAGGTTGCTCAGACCCTTCACTTCCTAAAGCGAATGGTTTTCACCTTAAATGCATGAAGTTACATTGGAAGAGTATACTGGAAAAAAAGATTACTTTTCAATGTCTTAAGCATTGCTGTTAAAAATTATTTCTCTCTAAATTATATACAGAAATCAAGTGAGAACTGACATTTAGTACACATACGTTGCTCAACATTAATTAATGTTTACCAAACAAGTAAAAAAATCTCTAAAGTCTATAATTAATTCTTCTAAGCTTTAGAAGTTCCAGTTATAAGACATACAAACTCTTTGAATAAACTGCTAATACCAAAAGAATATTCCAAGAATTCAGATTTCATCTTCTAATTTTCTTCAGTGATTTGGATACATCCTAGTCTACTCTGTCTTCCAAGGAAGACTTTAAAAGATGAGCTACCAGATACTTGCAATGGCTTTTTATCTTATTTTTAAAACCTAACAAAACGAACACAATATATTACATTCAAATTGTCTCTGTGATGGCTATAAGCTCTAAAAGGGCAGACAAAAATTGTCTTTTTAATTCAGTAGAGCCTTTAAGAGTGCAAGACCAAATTGTCAAGGTATTACTTGGGAAAATTAAGGCAAATAACTGGAGAAGTTAATATCATGTACATAAAATTGCATGAAATATACCCATCAGTGGATTTAATATTCAGAATTAGAGTAGCTTGAGAGCACAGTAAAAGGATTTGCAACAGAGTTTAATGGAAAATTTAAGCACGTTGTCCTGAGTAACTGGTTGATCACACCAATGTGCTCACTGTTAACAAAGGCCCTCAGTACATCAGGCTTGAGGACATCATCCAGAGATTGTTTTTAATTCTCACAAAAGTTCTCTGAAACTACCAAAATCAACATATCTTGCACATATTACAGGTACACCAAAACAGATGCAAAATATCGCATCAATGTAACCATACAGATGACAGCAAGTAGCTTCAAGCAACCATCAGCAACTACTCACCGCCAGCCCACTGTCAATACCAGCACCTGTCAATTAGTTTGTCCAAATGTACATACAAGAACAACCTTTGTGATAGCTGTTCAAGTATTAATCAAAAAGGTCCATTCATTTGAATTTTGAGGAATTCAAATTTTAAAAAAAACATAACCCTTCTTACCAATCTAAGAAATATTCAAGAACCAATTGAATTCCATGGAAAATAATCCACCAACAGAAAGCAAAAATATTTCTAATGCTGTACTTAATGTGACTACATGAAGGAGGAGGAACTATTGTACCTTTATATGCTGTCGTGCAGCGCTTGAAACAAGAGGGAGACTTCTGAGACTGTCATTTATTAACCACTGCCAGCCACCTGAAATAGTAAGGAATATAAATGGCATTCATTTTTCTTGCTTTCTGAACTTCAATGTTCTCTGTTTTATTTTTTTATAAAGACCAGAAATTATACACATTGATGTATTTCCTTGGTTTTCCAAAATAAACAAGGTTGTGATTCTCAATTAGTATAGCTATTCTGGTTTGGTTTACAATGTATGTAGCACAAACACTGCATCTGGTGATGCTGAAAACTTGACAGGAAAAAAAAAGGTTAGTAAACAGCTACAAAACACATCTTCAGAAAACATCACCATCTGTTGCAGAATTTGTGTATCTTTTAAATATTTTTTATTTGTTAGGCCACCCAACCTCGCTAATCTTGCTGTTTTGAAAAACATCATTCGTTAATACTTTAGCTTAATGAATAACTACTAAGATAATGGAAGGTTATTTAAAATATGACATACCGATTATTGGATCTCCTCTAAATGGCATTTTTGATAGAGACAACTTTTCAATTAAAGTGCAGACTGTAAGAAAATAAATTTGATAACTGGATAAATAAAAAAGAGAAATTGCAGCAATTTTGAAGATACAATCACATCAAGTTATATTAGTATTAATTTTAAATTGAAGAAAGTCTGCAAATAGAAGTCCAAAATATGTGAAATTAGAAAGTGAAAGGAAATTACATTTGTGATTCTTATATTTAAAAAAAGCTACTATGCAGGAACTGTTCTCTGACATGAGTTAGTCCCACCATTCATGCAAATCCATTGTTTGGTGGTATGTTTTTCCCACTCTGCCATTTAAGGTGCATATGTACATATCAGCCACCTTTCTGTTTCCATACCAGTCTGTAAATTGCTATGTAGTAATGTTGACAGTAAACCAACTTGGATACGCATAATACTACAGTCACTAAAAAACTATTCAAATACCTATGAGAGGTTTTCCTACTTCTTATTAGCAATTTTTTGGACCTTCAAGGAGTGGCATCTGTCCACTGCACAGAGCTAGGAGATATAAAACTGGATGCAGCTTTATTTCCTTTGATACTTGGAATATAAGAAAATGTCATTTTAATAATTAAGTCCTTATTATTTTAAATCTATAAACTTAAATGAGTTCTAAGCTTACAATACCACTTTAAGAATGGTATTTTTTTAATGTTTCAAGGCTGTTTTGGGGAACAGAGATTAACACAGTAAATATTGCAAACTTTTACTATACTATAGATTGACTGCATTGCTCAAATGAAAACTCAGCACTTAAGGAATATAGTATCTTTCACCTCCTGGTGATGAGTTCAAATAAAACAGATCGGTCTACATCCATACTCACTATCTGACTGCTTTAGAGTTGGTGGAGAGGAGGGAAAGGACAGAACAAGCTACTATACAATGCCACCTTTTTGTTTTCCTCTCTTCCCACAACTTAATTGTTGAATCTTACTCCGGGATCTGTACACAGGTCATCTTCATTTATAATCAACTTATTGGGCTCTGAATCTATTTTTGAATTCAGTCTTCACTATGGTAATGTCACACAGTCAGACTCCCTCTGTTCAAACTCCATTCAATATTGTTTGTCAGCTTCTTTGTTCTAATATTTATTCACAGACAAGGTTAAGCACAATGTGACTAAACCCAAGTCTCTTAGGGTTCCTCCTTAGTTCTCTATGCTTCTTTATGCTCTATTGTGGTTGAGACCATCATCTTCATTAGACATGCAGGCAATTTGTGGAACATTTTCAATTCTTCTCTTATTCTGCCTACACAGTTGTATCATGCCAAAATACTGTCATTTGTACTTCTCCAAAACTAAAAAATATTCAGCTGCTTAAAAGCTAAAACATGTTAAGAAACTACCTATTCTTTCAGCCTGCATTATCATTCACAAGACTGTAAACTCATACAAAAGCTGCAGAAATCCCCTTGCCCACTTCACCCCTTCTATTTGATCACTCTTCTACCTTGGTACTGAAACTCCTTTATGCACTAAGTTTGGATGGCTTCACATCTTCAAAGCCAGAATCTGCTATGTAGCACTTCCTTCATGCAACCCACGAGCAGGAAGCTCAAGTTGGCACCATTTCCTTATCCACCCAGGCTACCTGGATGGGCGCTTTTTCCTGCAATGCCCTTCCTTTTTACAGTGGTTCTGTATATAACAATCTTCAAAATCCATGTGAACAACCTATCATCTTTTCTGTGATACCACCCTTTTCACAAACTGTTGTTTATATGGTCTTTATTCTTCACCTTTGCGCACACACATATTAAGATAAAATCATTAGTTACATGATGGCATCTGTCTTAATGGACAGATCATATCTCTTCTGGAGAGGAATCTCAGTAAATCAATGAAGGAAGCCAATTCAACCCCGAAGAAAGTTCACTGTGTGCAACAACGGAAGGAGAGAATGCGTGACATAAACCCAAGAACTATCTCCAACTCTTACACAAACAGGGTTATTCACAAGTGTGCTGGCAACCAATGTTCTGGAGTACCTGTCTTCTGATCAGCCTCCAAACTTTTTATTTTTTTAATTACTGTACGTACTTTTTTTATGCATTCAACACAATATACGCAAAACAAACTGGAAAAAAGTAAACAGAAGAATTCATTACTGCACATTTTCTTCTTTCACACCACAGCTGTGATACTTACCTGCTGGTCTCATCAGTTCTCCACCTAAACCCCTGCAAAGCAAAAACAGAGCCTTCAGAATAACCTACCACAAGCAGGCTGAGTGCATTGCCTAGTGAGGAAAAAAAACCCTCAAAACCATTTCAGAATGAAAGCAGATCACAAAATACCTGCAGTTTTGTATTTGACCAACTCTAAAATACTTCTTTTTAAATCAACTGTTGTCTTGACTTCAGCATGATTTATACAAATCCTTCCTGAATATTTAACTTTCTTCTTACAAAAACATGGTCCCAGTCTTTCTAATATTTAATGTGAATAATAAAGACTGTCAAGTTCATTCTGCTTTTCTTTTCACTTGCTTCAGAAGCATTCCAAACCTGTGGGACTTGCCACAGGACTGTTCAGTCACACAGCCTCTAAGAGCTTCTGTCTTACACAACTAAAAAGCAAATACATGCAATTTTTAAAAAAAATCTTCATCTCTGAAACATTAAATAGAAAATTCACTTACCAGTTCCCATTTTTGCAAATGTTAACTGGTTTACTTTCCTAGCAAAGTCTCTCACCTTTCTCTTCTTCATCATCTCCTTCCCTGCTAAAGCCCCCTCCCAGGTGATTTTGCATTCATCACCACAAGTGAGGGGGTAAAAACTTCCAACACATCAGAAAAGGCCCAAGATGCTTCTGACCTTCCTGAAGTAAGTGCATGTTACATAAGGATGGTCTCACCAGCTCAGACCTCAGGCTTATCCAGCCCAGTTATCCTATCTGAATATTAGCCTGGCCACTGATAGCACTAGGAGGAGAAAGTCTGAATGAACTTGGCACAAAGTGGGGAGAGGGAGAAGCGTCCTAGAAATAGCAGGGCCTGTTTCCATTCTTTAGCCTCTCATGTCTCTGGACAGACAGATGTCTCCTCAACCAGCTGAGCAATGTTTGCTGGTTACATGGATATCCCCAAGGTGCCATGAGCACTGCTTGGGGTGTTCTGCTCGGTGTCATCCTCTGTGGCTTAATTTTTCCATTTTATGAACCTTTGACCCCTGCCCTTCCTTTGGATATTTCCTCCCTCGACTCCTTATTCTTCTCTCCCTTTACTTCTGCTGGAATATTTCCTCCCTGAGGTGTGCCAAACCCTTAATCACCTCTTTGTATGGCCATGCTCAGGCAGAAACTCCCAGCAAGGGGGAGGAACAACAAAGGCTTTTTTGTTTATTTAGTTGGGTTTTGTTTTTTGTTTTGTTTTTTTTTAAGCCTTTTCTTCCCTCCTCTCCTCCTCCCTCCCCACAATAAAATTAGTAGCTATGCTCAGAAGGCAAACTTAGCAACCCTAACAACTCTTAGAACTTTGTTCTCCAATTTATCCTTTTATATGATCTTCAAAAGCCTAAACATTTTAAACAAGTTTTTCCATTCCATACAAGTAGGTGCCTCCTGTAACATGCACTGGGTTTTTGACTGCTCAACATTTTCATTGGTTTTTCAGGTAATGCAGAGATGCCAGCTCCACAATATTCTCATTTGCCATAGATCAGCACTTCCTTTAATTGGGATTTTTTTTCCTTTTGACAATCAATATATTAAGCTCAACGCAATAATCCACAGCACATTTTATCATTGTAGGAAGCAAGTGCAGATTCCACATCCCCATGCTGATAAGGTCTTTATATTATCTACCCCACCCTCCTGCCACATTGTCTGCTCTCCAGCTTCTAAAAAATTTAAATTAGAAAACAAAGAAGCGATGCAAGGAGTCAAGACAGTGGCAAAAATAGAAGAATGATGTGGCAAGGCTTGCTTCCTCTTCACCATTTCTTTTGCCTTCATTTTGTCCTCAACCATTCCTTGCCTTTTTTCTGTCGCCTTATGTCTGTTGCAAATGAGTATAAAATAATGATCTTGTAAATTTGTTTGGTGCGCAACAGAGTCTGCTGATGTAAGGATTCAGATACGGACTTCTGTTCAAACTACAAAGCAAGAACTGAGTCATAAAGGCTGCTCTTCTCCACTTCTTCACACTGCCAATAAGGAAGTCAGGCCACTTAAAGCTACTCTTATGTTAATAATTTGACAGCTATCCCTTCCTCTGGCATTACATCAACTCAATTTAATTTCAGAGTTTAGAGCTTCACTGAGGATTGCTGTCCCTGTGCATGAATGAAGAATGGTGACAGTGATTTGCATAGTAAGATTTCCACATAACGCAGAAACTATAATGAAAACTATCTTTGAAGGCACTGCGATACCATGTGTTCTTCTCTGCAAAACTTTTCAAGTTATTTCTTGCCTAGACACCACAGTATGTCCATCAACATATCTAAAAATTTTTCCCCTTTCCACAGCTCATACATATTTCAATTTTAAGAACTGAGAATTCTATCATAATCCTAGATCTTTCCTCAGTCAGTGTTTAGTTTGTCAAACATGATGCGCATCTTTCTATTAACTTTATCTCCCTCTGTAATATTTCACTAAATTAAAAAGATACGGATCTACCTAATTCAGAGATTCTGAATTTTGCTGTACAGTCAGTATTCTCTCTTTTTTCTTCCAAAGACACATCCACAAGTTGCATCACTTTATTAGATGTACCTGTTTTAAGTTTTAATTATTAATTCAATTTGTAAATTGACTGATGCAGTGCCGAGGTTCCATGAGCTCCTAAGCATTCCTTCCTACATGTGGTTCCACAGCAATGTTTCTCTCCTAGAAACATCTTAGAATGAGTCACAATTTATTTGTGGAAAATATAATCAAAATGTATAACCCCTTGTAGAACAAATGAATTAAGATTACTGACCTAAGAATGCTGGTATCTATTTTAAAATTATGTAGGCCTGAATCAGAACCAATGACAGTGCTGTTTTCAGTGCATATAGAAGTTCAAGGTACTTTTGTGGATTTTTTTTTTTTTAATTATTTAAAACCTGCTTTTTGTGAGTTCAGAATTGATCTTTAAGATTATAAAATAACAGTAACTGAAGCTGTTTAGAACTGAATAGCATCTACATTTTCATAAACATCTGAATCTGAAGTTAAAACTACTGGAATAGCTGAAGAGATTCGATTGCAAATACTCAATTTTCAGAAAGCTAAAAACACCCACTGAATAAGTATTTTCATCTCCATAAGACTAGTAACCTATTATTTTCCACGGGAACTCTTTGTCCCAAATAGAATTGAGGTATCTTAAAAGGTCTAGGTTGTACACTTACTGGGCTTTGGAAGTACAAAATGGCTTTATCAGAAGGTACACAGAGGAGGAAAGAGATACCTCTTGAGCATAGCTGAAAAAGCCTGTGTATTTAATAAAGCTCTTATGGTCTTCCATTGAAGATGCAGAGAATAAACTGTACTAAGCTGACAAACACCTACTTTTAGGTTACTGTAAATTCATATGCTGACCATACATGTTTAGTATTGTACTCTAACACCAGACAACTACAGGTGAAATCCTGGCTCTATGGAAGTAAGATTTCTCCCAGTGACTTCAGTTAGTAGCAAAAGAATTTCACCTTATAACTATTCAGAACATAGTATAGTACCATCTCCTAGAGCCATCATGCTACTGGATGCAAAAAATAATGTAAACTTAGAAGAATTGTTAAGATAAGCTTTCTTGCAAGGCTGGGATTATGTGCTGATTAATATGCCTAAAAACTCTTTTATGTAGATGACTGCCAAGAAACACATTTACCCTGAAACCATCAAGACTAGTTGCAACCTTAAAGGTCTTTGAAATGAGACAAGTTTCTCTTTTGCCTAGCACCTGTCAACACCTACAGGCTACCTTACTCTTTTGGAAAAGCTGAAAATCTGAAGATGACAGTCCAACTTACACTGACTACTACTCTAAAAACCTAAAATTGCTCGTCTCACATAGCTGACCGTGTAATACACACAGCCGGTCTCTTCATATGTTACAAGAATGAGATCAGAGCAAAACTCAGCATGCAGCACATTGCACTAACTGAATCATCCAGTGTGGGAGTCACTAACAAACACTGTGCATCCTGTCATATCCAGCTCTGATGGGAACCCTGAAGGCCCAATAAATAGAACATTTGCTGAAATACAGAACTGCAGTGCAACTACCTGGAAAAAGCCCAGCATATCTATCTGTACCACTTCCATATCTGTCCCTAAATTATCTTGTTACCCGACTCTGTGTATTAAGAACTACATTATCAGACTCAGAACTGGCTACAAGAAAGGAGATAAATTCTGAACATCTATTCAGCTGAACATTCAGTCAAGAACCTTGCATCAGATGATGCATTTTTAAAGAATCTTAACAGAACTACTATTAAAAATACTTTTTTGAGAACTTTTCATATTCAGAACTAGTACAACGTCTTAGATGCACTACAGAAATATGTCTGCTACAAAAAAAAGATACTAACCATGCTGGTTCAGTGGAAGCGTAACATAAATCAGGCTGATCATTAACACCATGTTTAAACTGGCAGACTGACTTCCCATTCCAAGTGAGACAGTTTAAGGCAACAAATGCCACAAGTTTTTGTCTTAGGTTTTTATGTATAAATGTAATGTTTAAAGCAAATAAAACATAGCTCAATTTTTGTAACTCTGTAACCTGTATAGCAAAAAACAGGCACAACGGAAAAATACTCTGTTTAAGTGGCATGGTTTGCATATGACTTGCTATAACTAGTGCCCATTTAATACAGAAAATAAGGCTCACTGCGCAATACTCAACTGGAAGTGCACATGCAAATACTTATACCAACCAGCTCCTCAAGACAAACTAGTGCATCAAATGTGTCAGAACCAAGACTAATGGAAGGAAGTACACACTGATGTGCCTGGACTTGTATTTTCCTTTTTCACCATACTATGGTAAACCCAGAAAAGGACTTATACAGGAAGACAGAAAGATACTTGCATTTTTAAAAAAATGTTAATACAGTAGAGGACAGGATTTTCTACAATTAGCATAAACATATTTGATTGCTTCAAGTATACCCAAAATTGAGAGACTGTGAAGTATAACTCAAAACTTGGACTGTGTCCTGACTGAAGGATAATTCGTGGCCATCATTCAAAATCAAGTTAAAGACATTACAAGAGCTGCTAAACAAAGTAAGATGGTTAGTTAAATGAAGGTCTCCATTACCGTACTTCAGCTTTATCTTTTTTGACTTGAGGTCCTTATAGATTCAATGGACTCCTAAGCATTAGACAATCAAGAAACTCACAACCCATTTTCCAGCTTAAATTTTATAAATTACAACTTAAAAAATTTAAAAAAAAAAAAAAAATCACAGCGTTTTTAGGCTTTATTTCCTTTTCCCTCTCTCACAGGCCAACACAATTTCTAAAAAAAGCTTGATCAAAGCATCAAAATCCATTCAGTCCCCCAAAAGTCAGCTATTTTGTTGCCAGAAGTGAAAGCAAAATATCTAATAAACATTTGAGATGTGTGGCCTGATGCTATTTGTTAATGCAGTTTAAAAACTAGAAACACAAATAAAACACACTGGTTTTCAACATTCCTACAAGATGTTGTTACACTGAAAATTCCCAGTAGCAATTTCTCAAATGGAAATCTTTGGAATATTATATGCAATAATTACTCATCACGAAACAAGTTTGGCTTGTTTCACTAAATGCTTGCCCAGCAATACTCAAATTGCTGGTTTGTTTTTATAACCTAGTTTATTTTTCTTGTCCTGTTTTAAAATATTTTATGCATACCAATATCTTAAAATATGGATTATAGTAGACATCCCTGTCTCAGCCTTAGTATTAAACAGCAGTGAATCAATTTTGCTTGGAGTTGAATTATAAGTCTTATCTAGAATGAAAACATTTCTGTAGGCATCTTATAAATACCATTAAGTGCAAGAAGTGCATATTATGACAAAAACAAATTACACCCAAGCTCCACCCTGACATTAAAGAATTTACGGGAGCCAAGACAGCCACCCACAAAGACACTAATATACAGTATCAGCATTAAAACCATCCACCAGTACAAGCTACCTTTGGAGTGGAAGTTTCACATCAGTATGTATGACCCTCAAGAAATAAATTTTAACATTTTTTCAGAAAGTTTCAGGATACAAAAACTTACATAAAAATTCTTTAAATTATAATTAATATTTACACAAAAAACTACTTAACATTTACTGTTTTCAGATATGTCATGTGCAAAGAAGTGAACTAAACTGTCCAAAAGCTCAAGGAATATCAGTTAAAGCAGACCCCCCCCCATTCGCATATACAATCATTAGGGAATACAAGTCATTAATTATGTTTTGATTTCCTTAAATTTAGGAACAAACTCTGAAGTCACATACCAGTTTTAATTCACATTTACTTAACAGTTACTTAGGCAAACTCCCTTTATTTCCTGGAAGCTTCAATAGGAAATGAAAAACAACTCCGTGAAAACTCATTTACATTTTCTTTGGCACAGGAGTTGAAAAATTGCATTGAACCTTTTGTAATACTCCTGGCCTACTCATTACACAGGATGGAGAAAGTAATTCTAGAATTTAGATAGAAGCTCCTTTAAAAAAAAATAATAAAATTTTGGATTCATTAACTTGCTAGTTAAAGGTAATTTCTATAGACCTATTTGAACCATACAACTAATACAGTACAGGTGAATAATGGGAAAGAAATCCATTACACACTGCTGAAGCCACGGATTAGTGAGAACATTCTGTTTCACATTCTTTCCTTTCTTTAACTGTCTCTATCACAATATTGAGACCAGTACTTACCACTTTCCCATTAATCTAACATGCCTGTGAGTTGTACTCTTGAAACACCACAACCATTATAAAACGACATCACCTTCTGTAATAGGTAGAAAAAGCCAAAAGAATGCATGCGCTTGCATTGTGATGAACTGTGAGAGACTGGCAGTCTATGGTAGGTGTAACTAACTTGTACAAACCAAAAAAAAAAACCACCCTAGGATCCTACTGTTTTCATTACTTCTAATTAATACTTTCCAGAGAAATAATTTTTTTGCATCCATTTTCTTACCTGTACAATTGACGACTGCAAAGCTGGGGGGAAAAAAAGCAAACATTAATAATAGCAGAGTTAATTTGATACAAGTGTTTTCATTTTTCCTCCTCGCATACAATGTCTATATACTGTGAGCTACGCAACACTGAGTTATTTTAAAAATGAAATTCAAAGGAAAAAATCTTTTTTAAAAAACCTCTCTATACCCATTTGAATTTTACATTCAAAGAAAATCAATTTAACAGATTCATAAAGCACTAACTTTTTAAATTCCAAATCCTAGCTGCTCCTGCACATACCCTGGAAGCTAGTTTGGCTTTTTAAAACCCATTTGCTTTCCACAGTTGACCCTTCTAAAATGATAATATACTGCATTATCTGAAAACTGAAAATAACTTTATTACCTACAGATTAAACAGAAAAAACTTAAAAGTTCAAATGTAACTGAAAACTATTATCTCATTCTTAACATTACAGTAGGCCATCTTCAAAAATCAGAGATTATCAAATTTCTATGTAGTAAAAACCCCAAAAACCAGATTTTTAAAAAGAAAGAGTTTATAACACCTTTGCAGATTTATTATAAGAACAGACAACAGCAGAAACTGGAAAGTATCATAACAAATTAAGGCCATTGTAACAGTACAGATACTGCTGATCAAGCTTTCAAGCATTTTGACATGAGAAAGTTAAACAAGGACAAAGATGGTTTTTCAACCGGTAGCAGCAGCCTTCACCTATGCACAGAATTAAGCAAGCACCTGTGTACTTTAAAGCATAATGGGTAAATGGTGAAGCCTCACAGCTTTAGCACAATGGAACTGGGACTAAAGGTACTAGAGATACTGCAGAAATCAAGTAGGAGCCTGAATGCTGAAGTATTGTCTGTTCCATAAGGTGAAGAAATAGGTGCCAACATGGGATGACTTAGAATTAAAGGGACAAGTTAGGCAAAATTATCTCTGTAGAAACATTTTAAATTGCTATGAGCAGGACAAAACTTCATTTGTCATAAGTAGAAATAAAGACAATGCATCAGTTGAAATACAGAATATGACTTTCAAGGTCTATAAATAAGTCATTTATGAATGCAAAGATTTAGCAATGAAATCCCAATGAAGTAAAAAAAAAAAAAAAAAAAAAGAAGAATAGAAAGGACAGAGAATGGACTCACTAGGAGATCTCTCTTGATCATGGTCACATTAAGGCAACAGCCATACATCTATCTGCAAGGGCAGTTAGTATGTACAGAACTGGCGAAGAAACAGAACGGGAAAGAAAAACAAAGCAAAACCCCATGCAGTATTTCAGAACCGTAACTGACAGCATCAGAGAAAGAGGCTTAGCTAAGAAGCTGGCAGAACAGAAGGGGATCAAATACAAAACCATACTGGAGCAAGACACATGATCAAGGACTAGAGCTATCAGACAGTCTGGAGTGTGTGTCCAAATTCCTATTTGTGAGTTTGTTTACTTTTGGCAAGGGGAAGAGGAAGGTGGAGAACAGCTGTCTTAACTGTAAATGTTTGTTTAAAAATAATACAACATACCAGGTTAAAAGATACACTTATACTTGTTACAAACCTCTTGATGGATTTGCTTAAGTCCCTCCAATGATTTTTCATTGAAATAATATGTTATAGATCTGTAAAAGTATACAAATTTTTTAAGACTGGTTTCCTAATCATGCTATAAATAATTTTTCTTCCATGACTTCATTGTACTTTCAAACAGAAAAACAACCATTTGATTTCCAAATTATGCTCAACAGAAATATGCAATATTTAAATTTAAATAGTTCAGCAGACATAACAACATAAGTGCTTTCCTTATCATGTAGCAAACTCATTCTTAAAGGACTATAAAAAAATTAGTGTCACTTACTAATAACATTGTAATCAGTAAAACACCAGTAACCCTTCTCAGTTCAGCTGTATTTTTGGACTCCTACACTTCTATGATTTTTCCATCAATTTCAAGTGTTTCCTCCTACTAAAAATGCTCTGCATCTTTTCTCTAACTTTTCAACTTACTTGAAAAGGGAACTCTTAAGATTAACACAAATTCTTTTGATAGACACTGTTGGCAAATACAATTCCTATTTGTCAATAATTAAAGCCATACAAATCAGTCCACACTTTTGATATCTATTATTTGAATTTATCTCAGTATATTTAGCTTGTACAAACAATGATAACATCAAATTTGTTAAATGTCACCACTTTAGGTATCTTTGTATGACTGCACCAGAACGTTCACAGAAGTAAAATAAAAAAGGCTAATAAGAGAGTAATTATCTAACTTGTAGAACAACAATGACCCAGAAAGTCTGTCTGTTTTTTAAAATATATTTCCTCAGCGTACATGTATCTATGATTCCTGCAGAACTGTATTTTCAGTGAAGCTGGCACTCTGGAGTCTTATTTCCCACTGCCTTGATCTGAAACACCCGCACATCCCCATTTTCGTCATGCTAGTATAAAATTTTACTGTTAACGTAACCTCCAAATTCTAGATTCTAGAATCTAAAAGATTTTCAATGATTTTTCACATGATTCTTGTGAAAGAATAAAAAGGTAAATCACTCATTTCTTTAATCACAGAGGTCTTTAAAGCAAAGACATCTCCAAATAATTCTGTCAGTTATTCTGCCTACATCACCTATATGTAATAGGTGTGTGTGTATATACACCCATATATATATATATATATATATACACACACACACACATATATACATGGACGAGCATTCAGCAGTGACAATTAAATCAGTCCAACTCAACAAACTGCTTCAGGAAGTATTTTTCTAACACTGAAGACGAAAGACTGTCCCCTCACAAGGAAGACAGCATACTTATGAGGAAAGGGGGTTTAATCTGTATTTAAATGATAACTTTGAACATTCCAAGTAAGGCAGCAAATGACCTCAATTTCCTGATGATGAATTTAGACTTAAGTTTATACCATCACTGAATAAAATGTGAAGGCTTAGCATGACTGATCAAAACAAACAAAAATTCAATGGCGAAGAAGTTCAGTAAGATGGAGATTTCCATAATTACACTCAGGAAGCTTTCAATAGACCAGACATGAAAGGAAAATTTATAGTCAAGATAATCTTGCATTTATACCTATTATTCTCTTCTGCTAGTTTACACAGTGCATGGGTGATCTCAGCACAGGCAAGAATTGCCCCATGACGTGTGTGCAGATCTGTGCCCACTGATAAAGGTAGAAGTCTTGGGAAAACTAAAAAAAAAAAAAAAATTTTTTTTTTTTTTTTTTTTTTAAACAAAGCATAGTGACAGATCACACTTCTAAATGTAATCATGTTGGCCTAGAAACAACATGGGAAAACCATTTCTGGAAAGTCAGGTCAATATATCCTGGCCACTGTATGAAAACCAAGTTTTAAAAACTTAAGGTAAATTCTGACAAACCATAGTAAACCACACCAAGAAATTCTGTACTCACAACTACCTCCCTGTTTGGAGTAAATAACAGACTTGCTGTTAGGCATTGGGCTGGCTGAGCTGTAAGGGAAATGAGGCTTGTACTTCCATGGAATTTTACTTCCATATAAACTGCCACCTTCCTAGTCCACTATAGGGACCCTAGGTAAGATCTGTAACTACAGATTCACCTGGGTGTCAGCTGCTGTCTTTCAGCCATATTAAAAAGCAGCTAGTACATCCTCAGAATCTTGAGTGGGCTAAGCAAAGAATCCTGAATTCATGCTAAGAAACATTTGATTACACACACCACAGTCAAAAAGGAATTCTTCTGAAGATGTCAGACTGGACAAGACAAAACAGATCCCCCCACCCTTTACGACATCAAAGCCATATCAACAAAGCAAAAGCTTGGAATTTGAGGGCTAGTTGCCTGAACTGTTGCAACAGAACTACACCCATTTATTCATCTTGGAACTGGTAGGGTCCAGTGTACCCAGATAACTAAAGTCCAGTCGCCAGGTAAAAAAAGATCTGGCAGTATTTTATAATTTTTGTATAAAATCTGAAAACTGGTAAAGCTATTAGTGTCACTACACTGTATTAAGTTGCAGGGGAAATCTTAATTTTTATTAAGTCATGGTGCATGTTTAAATCTTCTTAACACATTTTTGCTACGTAAGCTAGAAAGCTTGATACGGCACACTATGCAGAACTTACTTGTTACCTACCCACATTTGCCATGTACTCAGGAGCCCGTTGAGTAAGGTTATGCAGAGCTTTGGTTGAAAGTTCTCGAATAACACTGAAGATGTAAAAAAGCAGTTTGGGATTTTTGGGGGTTAGCAATTCAGTAGAAGTAATGTATTAAAAAAAAATAATGTCAGGAAGGGACTCCTGTCTCTGAACAAAATAAAGACCCCAACAATATTAAAAATTACAGTATTCTTTGTCCATCCTATGCTTCCCCCCTTCAAAAAAAAGCCAACAAAACAAAACAGTGGACCAAACAGACAGCCTACAGCTAGCTTTTAGCTATATGAATAGAACTTATTGCTGAAAGAGACAAAGAAAAACGTAAGTGTGGACGGTAGAACCTGAGGGCTCATTCTATGCATTGGCAAGGACACTACAGTAAACTATTATTATTTCTCATGATGCAAACTACTATCAGCACTGATACAATCTCATTTGTGTTATATGTACACATTTTAATCTTCATGAACACTGAATATGACTAAGCACCATCTCTATGCATGAAATCTACTTTAATTATGATAATTGTATAGTGATAGTGTTTACCCCTCACATATACTATACACCATATAAATGTGTTTTATTAATCTATTAACAGATTGAGGTCATGGTAAAAAGACAAAATTCATAACCATGCTTTAAGTGACAATATGCTAGGGAGGATAGATGACATGAGCTACTACTTGTCCAGTTTCCTTCGGTCAAATGCTATTGCAAACTCTAGTATAAGTAAAATTTACAAAAATAATCTAGGAAAGCATGATATGCAGAACAGTCAGTTCCTGGATATTAATAATTAGACTTTATGAACTTACCTATCCCAGTGATTAATCTTCATGTTAACTAAATGATCAATCATTGGCTGTGTATATTCAGGAAAGCCAGCAATATACACACTGGAAAAGAAATACCCATATAGAGAGAGTACAGAATCAACATCTATGTGCATTGTAACACAAGTTACTCCAAAGATTTAAAGTTTTAAAGCAACCAAAAAAATTACTTAAACATGCCTTCTCCTAAATGAGATGCAGCTGAATGAAATAATACAATAGGACATATTTTACAATTATTGAAAAAAAAAGTAAATAACTTTTGTAAAACTTTCAGATTACTTATAAATACTATAGATACAAAAAGCTTGACAGTAACAAAAAGCAAAAATAAACATTCAATTCCCATTGTTACAGTCTAGAAAATCTAGATCTGTATATTAACTTATACAATTATTTCGGATTGGAGAAATGTATGCATGATGTAATCCACAGTACACGGTAAAATTAAGTTACAGAAATGTGCTACATCTTCCTAAATACAGGGGTCCAAAATTGAATATGGTTTTCAATTTGTCCTTTCTAAAAAATCAAATGTACACCAAAAAAATCAATTCTGACAAAAAATGTTAAAGCTGCCAAGTCAAGACCTAAGATGTAAGGGAACACCAGAATTAATTACCTAGGTAGCCTGCATAATTACCTAACTTTACAGCCGCACTTGCTTTCCAATCTTCAGAAGCATCAACTATTGAAAGCTAAGGTCAACAGAAGTTAAGTGAAACGTTTTTTTAGTACATCTGATGTATGCTAAATATTCTTGGAAAGCTAAACAATCAGTAGAATGTCTTTGTGTCAAAACATCATGCGCAAACAGACAAAATTAAGGACACATGGATTACCATAATTTCACCTTTTCATATCTTTTGAGTGATTAACTTTGCAACCATAATAGTGTTCCATTAATATATGTGTGTGTAATTAGAAGCAAAACAAAGGCAAAAACCAAATACTGTTGCATATTACCATAATGATATCTATGTATTTCATCAGAAGAGTAGGAATCCTTAAATCCACAGCACAGACCTCAGTCACTTGAGCCCATACAGGATATAGAAGTACTACCTACTACTGCTATGAGCCCTAGAGGGGGATTTGAAAGTTGGTTTAACTGGTTGTTGATGCCAGCAGAGAAATAGTAAAATTCATTACTCTTTGGTTCCCTTCCCTGTTCTCGAAGATCATACAATAATAGACACACTTCCCCTGCCATATTTGAGTTCTCCTCTCTTCTTTGTAGTTGCTTTTTGGGTCCTAGTTTTAGCACTCACCATTCTTTCCAACCATTTTAATCTGAACTTCCTTGCCTGGTTCATCAAAGTTGATCTCTTGGGCCATGTCTGTAGCCCAATCCCACTTTCAGTTCTAGTTTATATCCACCTTTAACTACAGTCCTCATCTTTAGTACCCTACTGAGTATTTAATGCAAGTAACCTTGGCCAGAAGTCTAGCCTTCCTGATAATGTTGCTGGTAAGATTTTTGTATCCCACTCTACTTAGATTAAGAAGCTTCTTCCTTAACTCTGCTTCTACCAAGCCCAGAACTCCTGAAATCACATGTCTTTACTCCCAGTTCATACAAAATGGGTTTCCTCTACCTTCCATCCTCAGAAATAGATTATGATGTTTGAGCTGAATCCTCCAAAGAACATTAGCAAAAACTTTCAAAAGGGCACCCAGCATGAAAAATGTGCATAAAAATATTTAGATTTGAAAGGATATAACCAACTATTTATACACACACACGTACCATATATATATATATAAAAATATATACGATACTGCCTCTCTACCAGAATATATCATCATTTATCAGCCAAAACCAAATTCTGTTGAAACTGACACATCTTTTTCAAGCTTTTATTGCTTAAAGGAATCTAGCAGTACCAACCCTCACACCTGCACAGCTTCCTTTCACATAGCGGTATTATGCTGGCATACAAAGTGTCCTGGGATTGTTTTATCTGGGCGGGGGAAGGACAGCTAAAGATTCTAGATCTGGAATATGAACCTCAAGCAGCTTTTTCCAGCTACATAAACAATTACACCACCTTAAGGCATACCAATCAGAAAGGTCCATTCTTGCTACCACATCATAATGATACATGTTTTCTGTGCAGCCAAATATACTCTTATGTACTTTTCCTTTGATGTTACTCAGACAAAAATAAGGAAATAATTAAGTATTGACCCAAATAATGACATACTGCTTGAAGAGCAAAGTAGTGAAGATTTTAAAAAGTAATATAATGAATGAGATGACAAATACTTTATAAAGAAGAGTTTGATTAATAACACTGAACATGGTTTCAAGGATTCATGCTACTAAGTGCATAAGTTTATTTATAAAGAATTTACAAATTTATTCTTTCTGTTGCACAATTTAAAGAAAGGCACAAGAGTGGAAGAAAGCAATCAACAGTAAAAATATTTTCACTTAGATAAGTAACACTCCCATAAAAACTGTGGAAATCACAATGAAAGGAGTAATAAATGAGCATTGGAAAAAAAAAAGAAATCAACAAGTCAGCTCTCAAAAAGTAAGGAGAACATAATTAGTCTCCAAACCAAAATTGTAAGAGAGAAAATAAAAACTGCTTTGTCAATTTTGAATATTTTCAATTTTCCACTAGTACAAAAAGCCAGAGTTTCAAAAACCACAGTTAAGCTATACAGATCTAGAGCAGCATTGAATACCAAGCCACTGCATTTCTCCATCTCAGCTCAGTAGGCGGGAGCTCTGGGGAAGAGTGTAGGAGGAAGGCGTGGACCCCAGAAGGGACAACAGTAGGTAAAAGGTGAAGTATGTACAGACTGAAATGATTATGCACAAGAGGGACAACATGGAGGTGGACATATCAATTAAAAAAATGGTCAAGAAGAGGACAGAGGGTTCCAGTGCAAATCATCTTAAAAAACTGCTCATTGGAAGTCACAAAGCTGGCAACAGAGCATAAACCATCATATACCTGTTTGCTATTTCTGTTCCCCAAGAATATAATCTCTTCAAGCCTTTCTAACCTGTTGGCTACTGAGCAACATGCAACTCCATAGGGCAATTTATCTGACCTATCTTAAAATGGTCTGAATCACCTTCTGTAGGTGCCTGTCTCTTTGCATTGGCTATGGAGAGAGGCTAGACACCTAGGCTAGACTGTCTGTCTGTGTAACTAAAGCTAGAACCCAGCCCTCAGTCTTTTTCATCTTCTCATGAGGAAGTACAATCTTATGCTCATTTTAGTCATCCTGTGCACCCAGCTTGCCTCTGAATTCCCCTGACTTCAGCATTACTGTATTTTCAGAAAGCTGACCAGAACAGAACACAGTATTCCAAGACAAGTCACTGATTTATAACAGCACCACACCAGTACTGGTATTTCCCATTACATTCTTTGCAGACTTCATACTGCAGTGACCAGTTTGTTTTTTCAAACACTACTGCAAACTGTGGCTAGATTTTCACTGAGCTATCTATGAAAAATATAAGCACTCAAGTTAAGGTCCATGCACAGACCACAAATTCAACAACTTGTCCAAAGTATTTTTTAAAATGGGTATTAATTTTTTACGCACATCAGAGTCTATCTGCCATCATAACAGCCTCTCCTTTTACTACAACTCTTCAAAATCCCCTAGTCTTCTCTAAACTTGACCAGCTTAGATGGTTTTGTAACACCTGCAAACACTACCTCTTGGCTGCTTCCTCCACGTAGACAAGGAAATCATGGTCACATTTACACTGTGTCTTACACATAATAAGCAGTCTGATGCAGAAATAAGAAAAATCAAATTTTAATTTATTCAAAAACAACAGTAATAAACATAATGTTCAGTAAGGTGAAACAATCAGACAAATATTTCATTATGTAAAAGAGGTCCCTCATGTTTAGGAAAACTAATGCTTGGAAACTTACCTTATAGTCAGGTAACAGTTAACTCTGTTACCAACAGCAAAATAATCAGCTGCAGTTAGAATGTCTATGCCATGTGGAAAAGTGCCCTACAAACATCATAGGGAAGAGGGGAGAAAAAAAAAAACCAAAAAGAAAATATTATTTAAAAATGTAAAATACTTTCCAAATAGGCAACATCATTGAAAACAAATCTACTACTACTCTCCAAGCAGTGAAAAAATAAAATTTAATTTCTAATTTCTAGTAAAATCACTTATACTAAAGGTATAAAGGATATCGGATATACAAACAGCAAAATACCTAGCTTCACTTATGAGTCAGTGACAAACAAAGTAAATAGCAGCAGGTGATAAACTATGCAATATCTATCTTAACACCTTCAAGTCATATCCAAATATATATTTGGTGAATGCATGACTGTGTATGTACACAAAAAATTATTTCTCTAAAAGAAGGTTTAGATAAATGTAAACATGTTTTCAGGTTATGTGAAGGGACAAGTATCTGCTGCAAGTTTTATGTAGTACAAAATTAGAGATTTAGGCACCAAGATATGCATCACGTAGAATATATGGCAGTTCTATTACTTCTATTTGTTTCTACTTACACATATATTTTATGACTTGTTTATTAATGAACTAAAAAACTGGGGTTAGTTTGTTTTTAAAAAGAACACTAGTTCCCAGCAAAGCCTGAAACTTTGAATACTACAGAAGTATCACACTTCTGACATCACTGTTCAAAAAATTCTGGTTTTAGAAGATAAATCATCTTTCCAAATATGCAATTGCCACCTAAAAATTTGCCTTTTTATATAAGCAATACAATTCAGATATTCAGAATTTTGATTGGCTATGACTGATTTAATACAGTATTACGCAGCAAGGCCGTGTTTTGGAATGGAGGAGGCAGCATAGCCTCCACAAGCCATAATTAAGTACAAATGGAAAACAGCCAACTGAGAGACACTACACTCACTTACAGAAGGGACAATCATATGATATTTAAGCAATAAGGCTATGTGGAAGTACAGGTTCTGGATATGATAGAGTTTTGTTTGTTTACAGCTCACTCATCCCTTCCACATTAGGATACAGCCATGCAAAAATAGTAGAAAATATCTCTAGATCTAAGCCTGAATAATTAAAGAAGTATATACTGCAAGCAGTGGGAAGCTGACAGCTACTGCGGAGGTCTTATTCTGGGAAGCATAATGCCAACAGTCCAAAAAAGCAAGGCCTGGAATCTGACTGAACCAAGAAGGATAGACAGAATTTTTATGGCTTATCCAAGAGACTACCTGCAAGCCCTAATAAAAAGGTGAAATGACTGCATGCACCAAAAGCCTAATGAAACACTGATTAGGGAGAAAAATGTACACATGATAAATACCTCAGTATGTTTTATAGCCAAACAACAAGACAAACAATGAAATATATACAAATGCATACCGTACATAAGGAAAATCACAGCTAAACAATTTCAATTCTAGCTGCTAGTTGGACCTTGCTGTCTATTACTTGGCTGTAAGTGTGCCAATTTGATGCCAAAGGTCATGGTGCCACAGTGCATGTCAGTGAGACAGCAAAATTCCTGACACCAAGTTCATGAGTACAGAGGTCATGGCTGATGGGACAGACAGTCTTCAGAGGAAAAGCTAAGTTTCTATTCTGTCAGTACACTTAAAACTTACTTCTCCAATATAGAAGTTTGTCTTATTAGAAGCATGTGCATTTCTCATGATTTATGCTTTTAAAAAATTCTTCAAAATTTCCAAAGTTTTCATTTACATGAAGTGTAAATTACAATGGCTTCTTTTTCCGAGGCCATAAAAGCAAGCTCTTGGATTCAGGACATGTTGAATTGCAAAGGTGAAGCAGGCAGGAACCAGGAAGTAAGTGAGGTCAACTTTTTTCTCCACCATTTACTATCAGCACTGTTAATTCAGATGGAGAATACGTTTCAGCTCCTTCCAATTCAGAGAAAGGGTTTCTCTTTCAACACATTACATCCAGGGAAAGAACTACAGAGGGTGTATCCACTGATTAAGTAACCATTTTCCTAGGCAGTAAGGAATGGTTCAGTAAGTAAAACTTCTGAACTTCTACAGGAACCAAGTGGAGACTGATAGCATTCTTCATGCCATGAAAACTTAGTGTTTCACTGCAAACTCCTCCTTAACATGCCAACATACAAGCTAAAATTGTTGTGTGTTCTATCAACACTGAAAAATTTGAATCATGGGTGAAAGCAGAGTCAATAAGGAAACTTTCTAGTTTTAAACTAACGTAGACCATACTCCTCTGATTAAGAATAAAAAACCTCCACAAAATTTTTGCTACATGGAAGCATTTCTAAACCTGCAGCACCCAGGAGCCCTATCTCACCTAGAACTAAAGTCACAGCAAGGTGTTTACTTCATTCAGTACCTCACAAAGTGCAATCAGGCTGAGTTGCTGTATGATGACTAACCTCTCCAGGCCAGTAACTATAGACCCAGAGAAGAATCACCCTGGCTTTTAGTTATCACAAACCCAGCTGGGTCAGGTCACCAAAAATATCTACCCTCTTCCTCCTAGTCTTCTTGCACCCTTTCTCTGCTATTAACCTAATTCTATCTAGAAATACACACACCAGTTACAGACACGTTGCCTAATACCGATAGTTCTAAAGGAACAATATCCTGGCTCATAACAGAGATCTTCAGGAATGGTAACAGGGAAAGCTAGACAGGATTTTAACAAAGATCCCTTAAGGAATGTCTTATTGATAACAAAATTTACTTTAACCATGCTCACATGCCCACACTGTCACAAGAATTCACTAACTGAATCTTCCCCCTCCCCCCCCCGCCCCCACTTTTTTCTTCCCTCTAAGTTGTATATTCAGCTTTATTAATTCCTCATGAGAAACCAGGAAACTTTGAAATCCAGGTCTTCATGCTATTTGCTTCTCCTCCGAGGCTGCAAATCAAAGTTATCTGAGCATTTTAACTACTTAAAGGTCGCTAAGTTTCATAGGAACTTACCACAATACTTTTTTTCAAAGCACTTAGGTACCTCCTGGAGTAACAGATTTCTCAAAATATCTATGTGGTAGCATTATGGTGCCACAGGCAAAACCAAATATTGAGTTTAAGACTCTTAAGCCTAAGGTAGTGTATCACCAACCAGAACAAAGATTGTGCAGCACACTTCAGTTGTTCTATTAAAAACTAGAAAGTCAATGAAACAAAAAAATAACCAAAACATTGCACTTTTCCTCCTTTAAGAGCATTGCAGTTTGCAAGGTGTAGAATGGCCATCACACCTGCTGATTTTGCTTTTCAGAATGACTGAAAACTACCAGAAAGCTCATTTTCTTCCAGAACTAGATTATTAAAATAAAACTCACATATCAGAAAAATATTCCACAAGAACTTGTTTGCTGATAATGAAAATAATTATTTTGTGACATCCTTTTACTCAATTTCTCTGAAGCCACAGCGTCTTATTTTGACTTTAGGTACTACACGTTTACAGTAACCTCCAAGGCACTAATGAATGAAGATTCAGGAAAGTTACCGTACCTGTCTCCCAACATTCTCCTGGAAGGCAGCCTAAGGAACAGAGAACAAACATACCAAAACGAGTCAGGTTTGCTTTTTGATAAACACCAGATGATGAATTCAAAACACACAACAATATAAATGACCCATGGCTTTTCTTTTTTAAATAAAGTAAGCTTTGTCAGTAGAACAAGCCCACGGGGCTTTTTTGTTTCTGCGTCTCTATGTTCTGGTGTTCTTAAAGCTGTATGTTGCATGACAGCAGTTTTAAGAATACCAAGTTTATTAAACTAGTCACACCCACAAGAGTGCTTTTGAGTAGTGACACAAGGCTTCGCACTGGAATTGAAAGTTAATACCTATAGACAACAGATATTGAGACAGCTCACTTCTGTCTGACTAGTTCAACTTAATGTGCTAGTAATAGGCAAAGTTTGATTCTTTGTCAATGAGAACTTCAGACAAAAAATTATTGAGAATGCAATACTTATTTGAAAGACACATCTGAAAGCACGCTGAAACACTGACATTATAAAACCTGAAGACAAAATTAATGTATGTTTCTTGTGTTTTGCATTACCTAAACTCAAAGTCTTGCAAAACGCAACAAATAAAGTTAATCTCTCTACTTGCATGGTATACAGAATAAAACCTACTTAGCTCCCTACTCCCTGCTTGAATTTTCTCCCTCTCTCAAAAAAGTCAATTATTTTTTTGTTCCTTAAAAGGATATACAATAATAAGTATTAATAAAAACTTCTGTAAATTTTAACTCTTTTCAGAAAGGAGAGATCATCACTATCTGGACACTTCTCTTAAGAAATATCGCTCCATCTACAACCACAGATCGCCAGCAATGGACAGCATTTGTCACCTGACAATTGATATTTAACATACAAGGGGAAGTCCCAATCTTTACTGAAAACGCCACAAGAATTTTGACAGACAGAGCTTCTGTATTTCCTACATAAATACAGTACGCATGTGGTAATCCACCTGTAAAAACAAAAGGTTAAGGTAGCTCACCAAGGTATCATACTTTACATATGGAGCAAGCACTCAGAGAACACAGGTGAAGCAAGCCCTAATGAAGCCAGAGTCTCTTAGTGCATTTCTGAGGTTATGTCTGTTTAGGATAATGACTGCAGTTCCTGTAGACTTGCCCAGGCTAGTTCAGCTCCTACTTGCAGTGTATATCCACTGCAGGACACGTAGCACAGGCTGACTCTAAACCGCTTACCCACCACCTTAGCAAGTTTTGGAGCCCACCTTAGCCTGCTCGCAGTTGCAGCCACGCTGCCAGCAGTGCCCCTGAGCTAACCAGTTTAGGATTGCCTCGGGTACAACCGTATGGGCTATGCTCCGTGGTGGCGGCAGTGTAGATACACCCTTGGGCAACACATAAAGCAGCCTCCCAGAACAGGAACATAAGCTGCAGCAATGCCTTACACTTGTTCTTCATTGTATGCTGTAGCCCAGCTTCTGACAACGATTTTTTTTCACTCCTTACCTCTCTACCAACATATGCTCCCAGCCAGGATTTGCCAGAACATCATTTCATGTCACCCTGCATCATTTATTTCTTTTTACTTACATATTAGCTTTAGATCTCCTTTTATGCTATTGAGACCCTTTTACTCAGCATAGGGATGTTTCAGCAGGCATAATGCTCTCAACTATCATATCCAAGGGATTTAATAGTTTAATCACTGCATTACAATTTCTTTTAAAAATGTACTGCTCAGACAAGTGCCTTAATGACACAAAATCTGTAAAGCCTTTTTTTGTTCGTTTTTTTTGTTTTAAATCAGAAACTTCAATGTCCAAACAACATAAATCTGGTCTCAAACCACTGAAAGTTTTATTCTACTTACAATATATATTTATAGGCCCAGAACTGAAATATACTGTGGCAAAATCATTGGAAAAGATGTATAGGGGTCTATAGACAATGTTGCAGCAAAACAGTTATTGTACATGAAGACTTCACATAGTTTCTTTACTTAATGTAGAAATTTTAAAATTCCACTGCTAATATCACCATTTCATTTTTTAACTTAGAAGAACAATCATGAAGATCTAAGAAACAGTCCAGCAGCATGGCAAAAATACTTAGCATTCACCTGATGTATTCTAAACATCTAATTTACATGTTAATTTACACTTAATTGATTAGTTTATCTATTGAAAACATACAACTTTAACCACTACTTGCAAAGATAGATATTAGTATTGCCTTACTATAAATACATATGTCAATGATTTCAATTTAATAGCCTTGGAGAAAAATAATCAGTCTGTTATAGATTCTCATGCTTGTGTCATGAATTTACAATTCATGAAAGTATGAAGAGAAATATGGTAACTAGCAAAGTCCTCTATACATAGCTCGGTAGCTAGAAAATTTTCCAGTTGCAGACTAAAACTGTATAGTGACTTGTTTCACAGCGGTTTACTTAGGTTGAGGGAGGTTCCTATGTATCACCATGAACCTCTGTCATTTTCAGCACTGTTGTTGTGCATTTAAAAAAAAAAAGCTAAAAGGTGCCTCTTCTGCAAATAAGTTTTCAGCCAATTATGGGGAAATTTACAATGAAAAGCAAGATATTCAAAGAAAAACAGAAAAAGCCCTTTAAGGAATGTAAAAAACAGAATCCTAGAGTGTTTAGAGTTATATTTGGAAAATTTCACCACTGATTTAAGAAGACTTTGTAGACAATGCACATTCCAGCTGTGACAATTTAAAGACATTACTGTTCTAGGAGAACAGCATCTAATCCCAATTTTAGTAACAAAAATGTGATACGGTAAACTATTTTTCTTGGGTCTGAAAGAGTACATTGAACAGGAGAAGTTACGAGGAAAATCATCCCCACAATATTATTCTGTTAAAGCTTTGTGAAAGAAAGTAAAATAAAAATATGAAAATAATTAAACATATTGTTCATCCAAATGAAAAGGTGATTTTCTAGAGCTTATTTCATGTTCACAGAATTCCCTCCTTGTTCCTTTAGAACTTTTTTATTGTTTCACAAAAGAATTTTCTTCAGAATACTTAGGAGATTATTTTCAATAACTGAAAATGTTACTATTTCAATCATACTTTCAAACATCTGCAAATTCCTAAAAGATGCCAAATACTTCAATTGTTTTGTAATAATAATTTTTCATTTTTCATACAATCCCCTTCTGGAGATGGAAAACTTGGATGCAAAGATCTTAATGTAAAGATTCCATGATATCAGAACCAAGATGAACAACTAGCCTTGTAACCCCAGTACTTCACTTTCCCACAAAAACTGAAAAAAATATTAAAAAAAATTAAAACATTCTCTAAGTCATGATTTTAAAACATATCAACCAACCGAGAGGGAAAAAAAACCCAAACCCTCTCTTTAAGATGTCAGAGCTGAATGGAGCCCAATCCAAGATCACTTGTTCGTGTGATTATTCCTTATAATAATTATTCATGAAACAGTTGCAAAAGTCAGCTCAGAATGCTTTTGGAGCTTCAAAAGAACAGTCTTGTTTTATTCTCTCTAACCTCAGGGTTCAAAATATCTCTACATGCTATTTTGTTTTATTGGGGCTCTGCATTATAATATATTGCATATTGTAATAGATGGAAAATCTAGTAAAACATGTTATTTATTTAAATATGTATTTAACTGTAGTAATGACTGGAAATAATTAGGACTCCCAAGTGTTTTTCTTCGAAATTGTAGTAATGCCTAGTAAACACAATGTTTTTCTTTGCCTGCCTTTCTAAAATAAGAAAAAAGGTTTCAGTACTTTCATAACTATCCATCAAAACAGCAATTCCAAATTTTGACCAGCTCTAAATTAGAATGTACTAATGAAAAAATTAATTTGACTGGAAATAACCTAATTGCAGAATGCTCAATAGCTTGGTTTAAAGTAGAAGAAGGAAATGAGAAGAAAATGTACTTTATTTTGTACTCATTTGAAATATGGAAGCACAATCTGCACTAAGCTTATAGCATTAGTAAATGTATCTGATTTAGCACCATATTTCATGGTCAAACTATCGGTTTATGTTTAAGCAGAAAAACATAATGAAGATTACGCACGACTATTAGATCAAGCCACTAAAGGTAAGAAGTACATTTGTAGTGGCAATCATGTTAAAAAGAATTCTCGTCTTTATATATATTACCGCTGATTCCTAGGACAATTCCTACAGAGCAAATAAATAACTCACTTTTCACCATCTATACTCCTTAATGTTTTGTGCAGTTCTTGGGAAAGCAAAGCTACCTTTGTATTAAAATAAAATCCTTAGTGGAAAAAAGTGACTTAAATTAGCCAAGAATAGTGAATTCTAGTTTCTAAAGTTCAGGAGTTGAAGTTTGGGGGAAAGTAGCATTGTTCATATTAATTTAGTTGTACAGTATGCAAACAGTATGTTATATCAGTACTCAGCAATCTACAGCATCTTAGCTTCTATGCTTTGGTTTTAACCTATTTAGACAAAGTGATTTGTGATATGATTACAGAAGCAACTGACTCACTTCCCCAGCAATTATGCTACAGCTTCATTCAACAGCTTAAACTCTCAAGCAGAGGGGTGGCTAGAAAAAATAAGGATGCTATCCAGGCATCCCTGAGAAATCCTTCTTATGCTATAAATGCATTAGCTTTCAAATTTTCAGTCAAAAAATAAGATAGACCTGTTAATTAATTTCCATGTTGCAAAGACAGCTTTTTTTTTAATTTTTTGTTTGTTTGTTTTAAATGCATTCACAGTGACGCTTATTCTTAGGAATAAAGACACCCAGTTCTTTGACAGATATTGTTTGGTCCCGTGTTTGAGCTAATACAGTTATTGGGTGGGGGTTTTTACATCTGCATAAGATAATTTGTTTTATCTGTGGAAACAGGCAACTCATACTTTTTTTCTTTAAGAAAGCAAGTTCAATATATACAACACACTGACTTAAATTCTCAAAGATGTCCATTCTTTCTTCTTACCAAATTCTATAACCTCTCCTCCATAAGTTCCCTTCTCTTAAGAACAATCACACATTCTTTTCAATTCTCAACAGCATAAATACTTTCTACAGAAAGGTTCCACAGAATATACTTTGGTGTCAGTCATATTAACTAGATAAGAATACCTACCTAATGGATTTATCACTTTCTTTTAAAAATTCCCAGTCCTACAGAAAAGACTTTTATACAATAACTGAAAATATGTTTGAAGGAGAGAGATTATTCTAGAAATTTTCAACTTACCACAATTACAGAGTAAGAGTTGATGAACAATTAGAAAATTCACAAAACTTACCAGCTTGGTGACTTGAAAAAGACACAGTGTTTGTATATTATGTATGATCCTTTTGTCTTTGATATTGTGACTAGAAAATGCTAACTAGCTCTTTCTTAGATACATTATCTTAACCATCATGACAACAACGCAGCATATTGTGAACTGTGGACATAAATCAAGGTGTGGATTATATAATTTAGAATCTAAATTCACACCATACTTCTAAGGATTTAAAAAAGCACTTTTTTGTCCACAACACAATATATTGCTTATATACTGTAGTTCTACATAGCTAAGTCTACAAATTACATTAAATGAAAACAAACAAAAGTAACAGAAACATATAAGCTAGAATGTGATAACTTACAGAAGCAGCTCTTCTGCAATTAACATCGCGATCAAATACTGCAGCAATAACCAATGCACTAAGGAAATAAAATATTGAGTATTAGTACCAAAAATATGAGAAGAAATGTGTAACACCATCATTTCAACATTTAGACTTCTAAGCAAAACACACAGCATTTCCTCTAAGGAGCTTATTATTTATAAATACAAGCCTAAACTAAAATTTGAGTTGAAATAACCACGTACTTCCTCGTTTCTCTAGTTTGCTGTGGACTTCCCATAGCATAAAGAGACAACTACCATCCTACTGTGTCAAGCAATTTAAGTATGCAAATATGTTTAGCTGCATAGAAAGTTTTCTTTTTTAAATATAGCAGGAGTTTAAAACTTGGACATAACTATCATCTCTAATGTGAGATTCATTTAGTGCAATTTTAAGTTAAAACTTGGAAATACAGTTTCTCAATAGCCAAACACACAGCAAATCTTATGTAGGGCTTATGCAAAACTGAAAGTTAAGCAATGGAAACTTGCAGCTATCTCTGCAAGAACAATCACAGCCTGTAAGTAACAAAAATCAGAAAACAATATGCAAATCCTGCTAAAAAGTGACTTGCAAGACATATTGCAAAGCAGTTTTTTTAAAAGGTGACTTGTAGATACAGAGACATGATTATACAAAACTATTTCTTTGTGCATGAAGTCTGGTAACCCTGCACAGTTTAATTCTTCTACCCCAAAAGAACTGCTTTTAAAAGATGTGCTACACAACAGAAGAGAGAGAATATATCCCAGGACATGACGTCTACAGCTTTAGAAATCCACCTCCAGCATTCAATTAACTTCAGTGACAAATAAACATCACTTCAGGAGAATCATTTAACCAGAAAATTATTCCTTTCAAACTCTGAAACTCTTCATTACATTATTTATTGACTCCAGGCAAAACAGGAAATAAATACTGGCTGAAAAGTAAATCCAAGATAGCTTTGCTTTAGCATAAAGATATTAATTACACTGATAATATCAAGCTTCCCTGGGTAGTGGCTATCAGTCTCCTACAGTGGAGAATACTGTGTTGTTAAAATTCACTGAAATGCATAATCAACATTGCCTCTGTAATTTCAGTTTATCTCCATTAAGAAAAATGAGACAGAAAGCAAAAATGAAATGAAAATAAACTCCAATAAATTGTTCAAAAGACAGTTAATGCTTTCTTATTGCTACTTGCATGAGCAATTCCTCCCTCTGCCACAAAGACATTAGGTGATTATAAGACAAAACACGGTCATCCAAATGATAGCGACTGGAAGAACAAATGTTCAGGAAGCATTCCATTAAGTAGCAGCATACATGGCTAGCTGTTGAAAAAGCGCGGGGTCAAATACATCATCTTCATACCATGTTTGCTAATTTTCTTCTCTGGCAAACTTAAAAATAATTTTAAAGGGACATTTAAGAAGTATATCGTTTTAATTATATGAATAGCTCCCATAAGTCTTTTAATTATAGAAGACAACATTCAAAACTAAGGAATTGGATGAAAATCGTCCTGGAAAGCAAAAAGAAGCAAATTTTTGCCTGATGTTTCTGATTATATGGACTATAAGGTAAAACATTATTTTGTCAGTTATGCAATATTTCAATATTGTTCTCTTCTGAGAAAACAGAAAAAAAAAAAAACCACCAAAAAAACCCTCAACAAGGCAGGAAGCTCAGAATCCAGAGTGTTGCCCTTACTGTGTCAAAGGTACCCTGAAGTTAAGCATTACAGAGTATTTCAGAGGAGATGTGCTGGCTCAGAGCAAAATCCTTCCAAGTCATTGTCTTGTCTCTGACAGTGGCCCAAAAGTGACACTTAGGGATGAGTGTAAGGACACACATATTAAATATTAACATACTGATTTGAAAGATTATGCAGTCTTTTCAAACTGGAAATGTTAGAAGACCGTCACTGGAGAATAAATACTGCTCTTTGAATTTCATAATTTCATAGTTAGACTTAAAATGTGCTTTATTAAATATAATGGAAAACAGTTTCAGGTTATTATACACAACAAGAGTTCAGCTTATAATCAAATTGTACTTTTCCATTTTTTCTTATTCTTCTGTTACCTCAAGACAAACCTGTATAAGTAAAACCAGCAAAACAACATACTGTCTATGTGATGCCACCTGAGTTATTCAGTGCTGCAACTGAATACCATGTTTAAGAAAAAAAAAAAACCAACCAACAACAAAAAACCCCAGGAATTTCATCATTGCCCCTGTAGCCCCATTATATTCATAAATCATATTGTAGTCACTGTTTTATGTTAATCCTTTTAATAGAAGTATTTTAAACTTATCAAACTACACGAATAATTTTTTCAAGTTAATTCCTATTTGAAAATGCAGACACAGTCTGCCGTAACACCAGGATTAGCAAGGAAGGCAACATGCCTAAGATGAAACATGTCTAAGGTGTCTTCACCTGTCTGCTTTGTCGTGGGAGTTTATGTGATACTCCACCAGGATTTCCTAACATAAAGAAACTGTTTATGTCAAACAAAGTGGGATTTTTTTTTTTAAGCTAGTTAAAGAATCATGTCTTGACTTGCCTGAAATGTACCACACCTGACTACTAACAGGTAGAGCAAAGAATGTCTTTGCATCTTGCAGGCTCTATGAAACACCTTTTGTAGTTCCTTGAGGTATATTTAGCCTGTATGCACGACAAGCAGTTAAGTGTATAGTAAACACAAATGGACTTTAAAAAGCAAGCTGCAATTCTATCAGTCAACTAATAATTCTTCCTTTCTTCCCTATCCCTTCCCCTTTCCCCCGAGTACTCAATTAATTGGCTTCAGGGAAAGTTAAAAGGACTCAAAGTATGTTAGCTGCTCACTTCCTCAGCCCAACACTGACCTCATTACCTTCCCCCGACAAGGCAGAAAGAATCAGAGAGCAGAGGCTGGCCAGGTGATGGACGTCACAACACAGAAATATCATGTTACCCTCTCCTTATAAGCACCAGATGTACCAGACAAAAAAATCTGAATTTTCTTTATCACCTGTAGCAGGCACTTCTAGTCTATGCTAGTCACAAGCAGCACAAAGCTCATCCTATTGCTAACCTCTGAGAATTTACTACTATTAATTCAAGCATACCACCCTGAAGCTGCAGGAAGAAAAAAAAAATAAACTCTCAAACCTCTTGCCAATTTGGCACAAAACCAAAATTTCCTTCCTGAGCCCAAAAAAGGGAAAAGTCTAACTTAGGACAGAAGACTCTCCTCCCGACTATACACTAGGTAAGGGAAAGCATAATATTCATCACAAGCAAAACAGTTTTGAACAATCCAAGCAAGTTAAAAAAAGGAGGCGAGACCTGAGTTCAGACCTGAGTCTGTTGAGAGCTGCTGCTGCAAACAGCCCTTTTCACACCTCTTCAGTCCTGCCAGTACCCCAACTGGAATGGCTACACAGTAAGCTGGATGATGAAAACAGATCCATGCTCAATTAATTTTTCTTTTGCTAGCTTTTTTCTAAAACCAGAGAAGCTCCCCCATTCACTTTATCACATGCAGCTATGCTATGCTCAACTGCAGGAGCAATGCAGATGAAGGAGCAAACAAAAGAGCCTGCTTCAGCCAGCACTGCTAGGGGAAAAGGCCCTTCAGAATACAGTCTCAGATTTAATTCCTCCTGTTTATCTAGGCAAGGAGAACGTCTGAGGAAAAGGAGAAATGCAGTGACCATTCCCACTTCTACACTGCATATTTCACAGTCCCTTTAAGCCAGCTTACACTGAGTTCATACTTTCTGCTAGCCACCCAGCATCCTACACCGTTCAGTGTGTTACTCCAATCCCAAAGTTTTGGGGTAAAATGAAGAAAGTATAATAAATACACATGTGGAAAAGAACATTAAGAAAAATGCTTAGAACAGGAGTTATAAATGCTGCTATTAAAAAAAAAGGAAAAAAAGGTCTATGATGCCCCTGCAGGAAATAACTTTACACAAGTCCAAGACACAGTAGGCACACAACTCTCTTCTAAAGGTAACATTCAAATACATAAAAGAAGAAAGCTATTCTCAATATTTCATCATGGTACAAGATGTAGCTCAAAGCAATGCTTCAGATTTCCCCAATTCTGCAGGACAATCTTGCCCTGGAGCAAGCTACATCATTCATCCATAGCCACACCTTCCTTTTTTTTTTCCCCTCTTCAAAAACAACGCACCACCGCAGGGAAGGCAAAGCCGCCTGCACTCCTACACTGTATGCACTATTTGTGTTAGTATTCTGCTGAACAGGAGATAGCAATTAGATCTTTCTAAATAACGATTTATTTATTGATTACCTACACCATCGAATGACAGATAAATGAAACTACATTCTGACTATGCAACAGTTCCAAATAATTAAGATAGCCAGCAACAACTTAATCACCATAATTGTGTAATAGAGTAGAAGTATGTTTTTCTTTTTATATTTGTTTAGGTTTTAAACAAAACAGCTCAGCTTCTTAGTGTGCACCTGCCACTTTACACACAGTAACTTCCACACCCAAGGGGGCAAGAATCAAATTACCCGTATTTCCAAGTTATATTATGTTTAACTTTCCTCATAGGTAAGCTTGAAAAGAGAGCATGCGTGTAGAGACTGGGAGAGAAAAAAGCTCACTCAAGTAGTGCTTTTATAAAGATATGCTTGAATAGCAACTTCAGGACATGCATTTCAAAACATCGTAAGGTTATCCTGCAATAAAAGTGAAGTTTCATCTATTTTGCCAAGAATTTTCCTTTTGTGGTCCTGTAGTTTGAATACATCAGGCAAGGTTTTAGGAACCAGTTTAACTAGACTTTAAAAAATAAATAAGCATATGTGAGTAAGTGTATCTTGTTGAAATATGGATAGGGAAAAAATACCAACGTGTAAAATTACAAGCAAGTACTATTTGAACTACTCTCCAGCGAGTATTTCTACTAAGTGTTTTCCATCTTTTTTCTTTTTCTTTTTTTTTTTTCCTCTCATTAGAAGAGGAGTGGTAAGGTCAGGAGGGAAAAGGGCTGATCTACAATCTACAGCAATCTAAGTTTGTAACTTCAATATTCTGACAATTTCATCACTTAATAACAGAACATTCATAAGAAAGCAGAGAAGAAACAGCTATCACTGAATATGGAGACAGATATTTCTTTTAAAACATTGCCATAAATTTTACTAAAAAAATATGATTTTATACAGTTTAAGGTGATTTTTCACTAGTCAAAAGTGAAATGTTTATGTCCCTTGGCTACTGAAAACACAGAAAACAATGTCTTTCCATTACACGATGATACAACTTTGCAGGCAAGAAAAGGAAAAAAAAACCCAACCCTCCACCAAATTACCCCTCTGCTTTAATTTGTAACTGCTGTACCACAGTCTGAATGGGGTGTGGGGCAGGACCCAGTTTAAGTAGCGTAATTCCGCTGTATTTTCATACCCAAGTGAGTTTCCTGCAAGATACACTAGCATGTGCCAAAGGCCATGACATGAAGTAGGAAGACATGAAGCAGCTCACTGTTTAAGTCAACAACTTCTAGTTACCACCAGTGCATTTACTCTACCATGATGACCGCCTTGCCTTTCGAGTCTGTGTAGCAACCAGCTACTTATGCTCCAAGTTCGGCATTATCTGTGTTCCTCCAGCCAATTAAACAGCAGTGTTAAAGACTGTGAATGATGGATAAACCATTTGCAATTTCTAGCACCAAGATGAGGCAAACTCTTCAGGATTGCAATCACTCATTACAATTTTTTAAGGAAGTAGTATTTTCCTTTCAGGTAAATGATTTATTATTTTTCTGTAAGAATCCAATAGCTTGTATTCTTATATAGGCAGCTGTTTTTGCTGTGTAATTCAGCTCACAATGGATATTATGTACTTTGTTTCAAGATGCTGAGTTCTGCATTTTTTTACGGGTAGCAACAATTTGCTTGTGGCTAGAAGTATGACTCTTCTTTAAGTAAAACAGTGACACACCTAAGGCTAGATTTAAAAAAAAGCTGTATGTAATTATCGGCTTGCTGACACAATAGGTGAAACTGTGTGTCATACTTTATTTGAATATTTTTTTTCACCGTTTCTCTTTGCAGTGGCAATTCTACCTTCAAGTGCTGATTATATTTAGAAAAGGTATGGCCAACATAACTACCAAGATTTTTAAGTAAAGTCTTAATATAGCATTAATACTTGCTAAAATACTGTGCAGATTTGTTAGAAAACTAAGCATATACAAACCACAACACCTTACAACTGATCATAAGCAATTTTCAGATTCCCCCTTGCTGTCCGCCCTGTGTCTCTCCACTCCACCAACTTACTCCAAACAACTGAGGTTGTCATAGCTGGCATAGCCACAGCATTAATTGGTATTACTACCATAGGTAGAAGATATCAACTATTTTCATTTGACATTTTCCTAAAAAGAAAAGAATTTGTCTCCAGAACAGTCTGAAAGCTAAAAGCCAGGAGCTTCTTCAGAAACATAACCTCCTTCATACCTGTCCACAAGTTCCCACCACCAGCTTTGTGACAGTAAAACAAAATACCACAAACCATGAAAAATCAAAATGGTGAGCTTGCATCTAACATATGGAGAACAACATTGTTTTGCACCATGGTGGGGTAAAAGGAGTAAAAGAAATATATTGCTCAAAGCATCATGAGTAGAAGAAAAATACTCATAAACAGAACAGATCAGAATTCTGATAAATACAAGGCTTACACACTCACACTTAGGCCTTTTTAAGTTTCACAAGGAACAAGCTTGCCAGACCTTAAAAGAAACCTTAAAGTTGTTCAACTAAGTCAGAGGATGGAAGCAGAGGACTTATTTTCATAAGGCTGCTGACCAAATCTACAAAAAGGACCAGTTTTGAACCAGACTTTAGTATTGGTATGGCTACTCTCATCCTGAAGATTTGCTCGCAGTGAGAATATAAATGTATTCCTGCAAGTTAAAAGATAGCAGTAAATAAATCTGCACAGCTGGTAACAGCCTGCTAGAAACATTTGTTAGCATTCTGGTCATGAGTGTCACTGTGTCTTCGTTGCTACCATTGCTCGTGCTGGTTAGATTAAAAATAGGAAATACAACCCAAGATGTAATCACATCATTATTTCACTGTGCAAACGCATCTTTAGGTACCTTTATGTTAAGAATTTCATACTATATATAATTTACCATGAACTCAGCTAGAAGGGAATTAAATATGATCCTTCAAAATAAAATATTTCTTTAATAACTTACTATGGCAAGTATCACTGTTTCTAGCATGCTTAACTGAAGCAGGTGTGTTCTGGTGCACCACACTCTCTGAAAGTCATCCAGAGACAGTGGATGGCATCATGTTCTAGCACAGCTTGGTGTTACAAGACTCCTCTCCTTTAGTATCTACACTATTGTACATGAAACATCATCAAAACATGAGGCTGCTTTATCAGAGAGAAAAGGCTAAGATGTCTTAGAATTTTTTTTCTGCTCACTTCAGAGAAAAGACATGACAGCTTAAAAAAAAAGAAAAACAGCGTTTGGCCTGAAGAAATTTGACAGCAAGTTCTTAGACAGAAAGATTTTATCAAGGTCTCAAAAAACCCCAGGAGCAAGTACCACACAGATAAGAGACACTGTTGTGTGACGCTGCATTAAAGGACCAGCACTGGAAAGTGGGGATACAAGGATGAAGGAATAAAAATGGACATGTAGGTCTTACATACTGTCCCAAAGAACTTTAAAAACAAGTTTTAAAGAGGAAAGAAAAAATTACATATTCTTTGGGAACCTGATGAGCTAAGTTAAGTAATCCTGTGTTTCCAAAACAGGCTTTTTGGATGAGATTGAAATAGTTCCGTCAGTCTCTAGAAGTTGAAACAGATATCCAGGACCACAAACCACTGTATAATCCAAACTTTTTTTTTTTTTTAAAAAAAGATAATACTAAATGACTACTGATCAAAACTCCTCCGATGGAGACAAAGATGTCTGAGTTGCTCCTATCAATGGTTGTACTAAAAGCCTGCCAAGAAACTGTTAGAAGCTACCTCTTTGTGTTTGCAGTGCAAATCACCCGTTAAAGACACCTCAAAATGTCAGCCAGTGTGCTGCCAACAAAAAGACTAAATGCTAAAGAGAGAATCCCACAAGCAAATAGGAGGAAAAGCATGAGATGAAAGAAAAAAGGTAAAACTAATTTGTATCTGCAAAAATATCATCAGTATTAAGTGAAAAGCTGCACCAAGTTCTAGTCCACCATTGCAGTATCACAGGTTTTCATTTGAAAATCTTTTGAAAATTTTGCTTTTGAAAGTCTTTTGAAACAGAAACCAAATCTTCTTAAACTTCCTCAATCTGTTTGCTGAGCTAACCATAAAGCAGGTCATTAAGCAGACAACAGATGACTGCCCCCCACATCCCAATGCTCTCCTAATTTCTTTGAATCTTCTTACATTGCATTTCTTTGGATTTTTCTTTGGTTTTCTTATGACAGGTAAACAGAAGGAAATTAAGTCATCACACTTGATAAGGAAATATTTAAATGCATTTCAATCCGAAAAGTTAAACTGCATCATACCACAACAGAAAGAAATTTTAGACTTCAACAATTACACAGAAAGCCAACGGTACTGTTTACATCATCGTCATCCCACCTATATTCAATGCTTTAAGATATTCAGCATATCTGTTAGCATGAATCAGTGAACTTTATTAAAAATTGTCACAGAGAAACAAAAATATCCATTCCTTGGCAAACAAAATCCAGAGATGAATTAATTTCATTCATGTTATATGAGACACACTGGCTACTTTTTAACCATGAAGGTATTTCCCCTAAATAGATGTATCACTTTTGGTCAATATGTAATTTTAAATTTCTTAAAGATAGAGCATTAGACTCGTAGATCATTAACTTCTAGAAGATACAGAATTAGACTATTAGATTAACTTCTAGCTCCTTCCTAATTTTGAATAGATTTTAAAAATTAACTGTAAATAGCTCAGTTTCTTTTTGCCACAACTTACCTTGAAATCTGACTAATAAATGGTATCAGTTCTGCAGGATCGTAAGCACGAGCAAAGGCCCAGCAAACATAGCATGCTGCATCTCTCACGTTGGAACCCACGCTGCATGCCCCCCTCTTCTCGTCATATGTCAGCGCTTTCAAAATGACAGGAACAACTGTTAAATTAAAAAAAAGTACAAAAGCAACAATTAGGACCATACAGTGAACCAAAAAAAAGGTATGAGAGCATTCAGTGATTATTAGAGAAAAGACACAGGGTGGAGTTGTGCGTTCCGAAAGAAAAGAAAGCATGGGTCTTAATGTGTGCTAATTTTGTGATTAGAAAGAGCTGGGTTTTTTAATACACTATTTTGCTTCTTTGGCAGTAGCAGTTTATTTTTTTATTTCCTTCACATATAATTCAATGATAATTAAAGGAAGTGGGTTACATGAGAAGTAACATTGATATCCTTTATCACTCAGTGATAGATGTTCAAAGCCAAAGTAATTTTAAAATGCAAAATTTTAAAGTGTCCATTTTTGAAAGTAGTGGACTTTTAAGTATTACAGCAGCATCTATGATCATAAAAAAAAATTCTTAAGAAATACAGTATTGTAACTACCATAAAATAATCAGTATCCATCTATTAGCAGGCGACATTTATCATAGTAGAAGTCCTATGACAAGTTCTTCTTAATTAACAATGCTTGTGAATCATCAGCATACCAATCTTGAAAGGGACTTAAGCACAGTTTTTGTATAATCTTAAAGCAAAGTGACCGCACCAGCTACTAGGAAGACAGTTAACTCTATCCCAGCTGAAACTAGGACACATGCTTAATGCAAAAATTATGACAAACAAGTAAACCATGATATTTTATTCCCCATAGAGCTGCTACTTTGAGTGACTTCAGTGCAGTGTTTTAAGCTTGAACCTATCAGCACTGCCAAAGTGCACAGATCATAAAGACAGAATATGTATAAAACTGCAATGTAACCTAGAAATGCAAACAGGTGGGCTTTATTCTCATTTCTGCTTAGACATCCAAAACAACAGTGATGACTACATGCCTGTTCACCAGCACGGAATGATTTCATGCAAGACCAGAAGCCTTTGATGAAGGAAAACAGTACACCAAAAAAAAAAAAAAAAGTCATCAATGTTTTTTTTTTTTTTCTATCAGTCATGTTAATTATATCAATTTCACCAACACATTTGTTTTCGTTAGACAGTGAGGAAATAAACGAGGAGATATTTGCAACCTAAACAGCAATATGGAATCATGCACTGCACTTCCAAATGTACTCAAAATGCACTTAAATTGATTCTAATGCCCAAATTCGAAAATGCTGTCTCATGACATCCCATTCTCGGAAAAGAGTAGCATTACCTGTGTTCATTAAACAAATCATGATCCAAAAATCAACTGATATGATAGCCATCTTATCCAAGGCAGCTCTTAGAAATGAATGTATCAAGCATTGTTTCTTGATTTAATGGACAACCTGACAAACTTTGGATTGAGTATGGTTTAGCCAATAAAGGCCTAAAAGCTACAGACATCAATATAACATATGTCTCTGTGCCACATTCTATTGAGGGAGCTCCAGAGGAAATGCAGCTGCACAGAGCGTAAGCCCAGGCTGAGCACTGCAACCACAGTGGGTCAACAGTACACGACAGCTCTTCTTTTTTTTCTTTATTTTCTTTTTTTTTTTAATCATATTGAGGAAAACAGAGCAAGCAGAGTAGTAAAAGAGGAGTAAAGGCAAATTAAGATCCCAGAATCTTATCACAAAGGCTTTATAAACACAGGTACTGTTATTATAAGGAAGTAACGAAAAAAAGCTTGGGAAAACAAGTAGATTAAGAATTTCACTTTCATGCTTATATCCCCATCAAAACTGCAGAAGTCAATAATGTTTTTCTACAGATAAGAGAGCTTCCAAAAACTTAAAGAAGAATACTCTTACCCAGTTGTAGTAATATATTGCCACAGTTTATGAAATACTATATATATGCAAGGCTCCCCAGAGGGCCTTCTTTTGGTATTTGCAAATCCAGATATATAATTTGAATACATCTTTCTCCAGATGGCATGTCTTTAATAAATGAATAATGTCTGTAGAAACAACAGCCTCTAGAGAAAAAAAAGAAATAATTTCTCTCCTGATTCTCTTTCTTGTATCAAGTTTATCGAATGCATCTTTTTTCCTTAGAAAATACTTGTCAAAAGGCTGTATTTCATTAGCAAACTGTGCCTGGATATCCTTGAGTGGATATAATCAGAAAATAATTAAACTTCAACGTACAGTTCATCACTGTATGCCTGCTACTTTAAACAAAAAAATATGCACCACAACTGGAGAAGGGAAGTGTTAAAATGCCATTTAAATTCATTTTAACCTACTAAAGAAAATAAAGCAGTAATCAGAGGGATGGACAAGATATGACTATTAGGAGCACAAGCACTACATGGGAAAAAAAGCAATTCCCATTCAGGAACAATGATACAGCAAAGATGGATGGGTATTTGGGCACTTCCCAGTTCCGAAAGAAACTGCAATAAAAATCTTTAAAAATGTTGACTAGCTTGTTCTGAAAAATGCTGCATCAACTGATGAAAAAAAAATGGAATTTGCTGGTTCTACAGGAACACTTAAAACAGATGCCAAAGGCAATTTTGCAAAGCTGCTGCAAATTTCCTTCAGCATGGGGTGATTACTCCAGCTACTTTAGACAGCTGTGAGTGCACTCTCATCTCTCCATGCACTGAAGGAAATGTGGAAGAAGGACCCACAAGCAGCTGTTCACATTTTTTCTTTCATACAGATGATACAAACCATGTTTTTTCAATTCAGGGCATTAATTTCCCAAATAGTAGGGACAATACCAAATAGCACCTGGCTTATTAGGGTCAGTCTAACACAGAAGTGATGCTGCCCGGGTCTGTAACAGCAGTTACTAAGAAAACGCCAGGAACAGCAGCACTGTTACTCTGAGCAGCTCAAGCTTTCCCTATTATCTTGCAGCAGGCCTTTGGACTCACACCTCTTTGATGTCCTACTCCTGTGTCTAGGACTCAAAGCGTTGCTGCTACAAGAGAAACAACATGACTGCAAAGTCTGAAGAGCAAAGAGGGTTAAAGAAGAGGAAGGATACAAAAGTAGACATTTAGAAGGTGGGAGAAACAGGGAAAACAAGGTGAAGTATGCAGCAGTAAGGGCTAAGTAAATATAAATACAACAATGATAACAAGAAGGGAAATGCTCATCTAGGGGTCATCTGTTAAAGTTTTCATGCTATCACTGGTCAAATATTTACTTGTGGACTATGGGAAATAACATATAAAAATTGCTCCTGACAAATGTTGGCATGTTTGAAAAAGTGGGTCCAGCATTACATTTCCTGTTGGTATTTAGGAGTCATAAAAACCCAAAAGAAACAATATCAAAAATTCCAGGTTTCACTTCATTCTTTACCCTAGAGTTCTTCAAACACAATGCAGGTTTTTTTTCTGCTGTGGCTTTCTACAGTGTCAGAAGAGCCTGGCTGAAGGAAGTCATGAAGGAGCAATACAGGCAAAACCATCTGTAGTATTTAGTCCTCTGTAACTGAAATATCTTAGAAAAGACCTTCCTAATCCACAGTTTGACAGACTCTGTGTTCACATTAGCTCATGTACACTTTTCATCTTCAGTCTACACACAAAATACTAAGTTAAATTTTATTTAACATTTTTCTCTGATTTAAAACTGTTCACATTCATGCTCTTCTAAAGCGTTGTTTGATACACAAAGCAGCAATGACATTCAAAGCTTTGTAGTCTGCTTCTGCATTTTGCATGTTATGCAATTTCATTTCACCATTATAATCACCTCTCAGATATTCAGTATAGTCACAGTGTTGTACTGTGCTGCTCTGTACTGTTTCAATTTTTCAGATTTAAGATCATGTTGAATTCATACCTAAAACCAATTTATTAAAAAAAAAAAAAATCCAGAAGAAACTTATTTTAGTTTGGAAGGGCAGAGACAAATTTCTTTATTTCTGAAATTATGAACATACCTTTTTTATTTAAAAGTAGGAGGCCAGGAGATACAACAAGGAGATTACCTGAATTGTTACTTAACTTTAAAAGGTACCATTTCTTTCATAGATCTACACTAGAAGTTTGCCATTAAAAACAGAGAATAAATAGTGTCCACTCTCAACCTAATTATTAAAACAATATCCACCTGTTTAGGTCTATGAACACTCAAGAAAATACAGTCACCTTTACCTGTAGCCTAGAGGTATTAATAAGCACCTGTTACACTCCACCCTGCCTTACCTAACTACATAACTACAGGTTGCAACACAGGTCTTTGCTCAAGCCTTGTGAAAATAAAGAAACAACTTCTGGCTTCAAAGCATTACAAACAACAGGATTTTTTTCTCATACTGGAGACAGGTTGCACAGATATTTTACTTTTTAGAGACAGGTTTTAAACAATCAGATGCTTAGCACCTTTCAGGTGCAGGTGATAGACACTGAACACCTAGTTAAGAAAACTCATGGAAGACATTGTATTTTGAAAGGTCACATGTATGTAAATAGAAAATGCCTCATACTATTCCTATTAAAAAGTGCCTTTAAAAACATACTTTACACAAACCTAGACTATAACACATACCATCAGGAGCCCTATGTTACTTTAACTTCAGATTGTCATTTTTTTAAATTTATTGCAACGTTTATCATCTAAAACATACAAATACAGCAATTAAACAAACAAACAAACAAACAAACAACAACAAAAACCTGTTCCTTCGCCTTAGGTCTTGTCTCCACAAGAAAATTGCAAAATTTCATGACAACTCTATTTCATTTAAAACAGATTTTCACTGGATCTCAAGTTAATTAAGAACTCTCTAAATTTAGTTTAAAACTAAAATATGCCACTCTTAAAACAGATTAAGCTAATGTTACCTCTTAGATAAGTCTTAAATTTTGGTATGAAGCCTTTATGCAGAGAAGCCTTCTCAATTCAAAAGTAATATAGTGCAAAACCTTCTATTTTAGAATTATAAAACATTAAGAAAAAATACTACCAGAAAAAAAAGGATGTCTGCTATTACTGAAGGAAGTATTGTACACAATGTCACTGTAGGAGCAGCTAAGAACATTACAA